CAATCATTCAAAGTTATGACAGCACTAAAGAAGTAATTTTACAACTGAACCTTCAACTTATGATGTCCATCATGTCCCATGGTCACATTATTGCCATTTGCACACTTCACAGCTGGCTTTCAGCAAGCAGAGTCAATGGATGGATACGCTCGCAGCAAAATTATAAATCACAGTCACATGATATCTCACTTAACAGCCAGGGTGGAAGTGAGGTAATAAGTCTTATCGTGCTCATATGATGTCTTACTTAATGACTATGGTGTCTAGCAATGTAGTTGCCAGTCTCATTTGAAGTCATAAGCAAGGACTTCTTGTACTTGCTTGGAAAGAAAAATAATTTCAAAATTATGTACCAACCTCTTCCCCTCCCATCCCAAGAAAAGCTGTTAGAAAATTTACAACTCTGGCTTCATGGTTGACTGGCTAATGAGGTGCAGAAAGAGAACATTGCCAAGCGTGGCGTGACATTGTGATCCTTTGGTAAAAAGCAAGCGCCTTAGGAGATCTTGTTCAGCTAATGGTGCAGACTTCAAAGGCCAGCCAGCTGCCTCCAGGAAAAGGTTAATAACCATAATTTTGAAAAACAGCCTTAGGAAATCCATGTCTTGGGATTAAAATATAAAGCATACATATTTCTGAACATAAACAAATTCTTTATACGCTTTCATTATTTCTGGTACTTTTTATTAAAGGAGCAGGATGTGATTTCAGACTGAGCCTCTTCTGCAAATCAGTGTTGGTTTTATGCTTGCCATTTTCCCTGTGAAGTAATTTATGATAATCAAATCTGACAGTGTGGCATAATACAGGATTTCAGCCCTTGCCCTTTTCTTTGATAGTATGACCCAAATCTGCATTCTGTGGTATGATAAAAAGATGAAAGTTTCTCTCTAGAACATAAGACTGGGTGCCTCTCTGCAGAGCCTGCATTAATGACTTTGTTATAGATATTAAGACATGGGTTGTATTGTAGTTCGACTGTTGAGTGAGGAGGTGGGTTTTCAATATTATGGTTTTTATCACTGTATGATATATTTAAAGTGCTGGAAATATTCGTGGAGTCTAGATATAGAAACAATGTAATAAATAAGAATGTTGCAGCTGTCAACCTAGATAATAGCAGGCAATTGCTATTATCTAGGTGATCACTTGACCACCCTTTTCTGAGAGAAATTGACCAGAAAAAATGAAAAATAATTCAGAATTATTTTTCACACACACCATATCTTTTTGATGAATGAGAATTTAGTAAATATATTTTTCATACTTGGGTTCCAAGTAAACCTTGTGGATCCCTATAAATCTTATTGGAGATTTTATTTTGGGAAGGGAGTGCCTTCAAATCAATTTTTGACTAGAGCACCTGGTCTAGTCCCTGAATTTTTCTTGGCAAGGTTTTTTTGGAAGGCCACTTGCCATTACCTCCTTCCTAGGGCTAACAGAGAGTGACTGGTCACCCAACTGGCTTTGTGCCTAAGGCAGAACTAGAACTCACAGACTTTTGGTTTCTAATCTGGTTCATTTGCCACTATTGGTTGTCAAAACTTATTGTAATTCCATATTAACAAATTGATAAGGACAAGCAGATTCTCTGAAAACAAACTAGCCTTCATATTTCATCAGTTGCCCAAAAGACATTGGTTAATGCATATCCTAGCATGTATCTACAAATCTGTGTATTGTAACCATGTAAGATGTCTTTCTGCTTAGTTTTCTTGCAATATTTTTGTCATTCTTAAAATATTTTTTTAGGGGAAACACAAAGTTAAAAATTGAAATTGGTAAAATATTAGCCTGTGGAACCTGAGTGCACAGGCTGTAACGTGTCTCAACACTTTCTGCAACTTCGTAGAAGAATGTCCTCTGCAAATATATCAGTGTGATCAAGATTCCTTGAAAACAATTAATGCATTTGAAAGTTCAGGGTTATGCATTTTATATAAATGAACTTTTTGTTACATCCTTATTTACAATTTGTCATCCTAATAGAATTTGGGACATATTTGTTATAACAGCGGTTCCCCCTTAAGAGGATACTTGGTGAGTGTCATATGCTTTTCTTTAAAAACTGCTGTCAATAGTATTTTTTTTAAAAAAGGAATAGATTTCTAATATTTTTCAAGATTGCAATGAAATGAACAATTAATAGTTGAAGCTGAGATTCCCCCCTCCTAACACTGGTATTGTGTCTTTTTTTTAAAAAAAACACGTGCTGTGTTTCTTATAGAAAAAAAATATATACTATGATTTACATAAAAAGCTAGTTTGATCCATTGAGATCCTTGCTGGGGTTTCTTGCTGCAAAGAAAAGGATATGCTAATAACTGTAATCATCCATCTGAAAAACCTTACAGTTGGATTGCTCATAAAAAACGAATTTAGAACTAAATTTTAACCCCTTTCAAATCACTAGCAGAGGAAAAAAATGCAAAATGGCAAGAAAGCAGTTGCCATCAAACAGTGTGAGATAACTGGCAGAAAACTGCAAAAATGCTACTACAATCTGTGGAGTCCTTGGTGTTTTCTAATCTTGATTATTTGCTTGCAAATGTTCCATTATTCAACTGCATAACTAACTTCTGCAAGCAACAACCAAGATCAGAAAGTACTAAGGGCTCCATAGTTCAACCCCGAGGCACGCTGGCTGAGGAATTCTGGGAGTTGAAGTCCACAAGTCATAAAAGGGCCAAGTTTGAAGATACCTGCTATAGATATTTCTCGTCTATTGATGCTAGTAGGAGAAATACCTTGTTGAAACAAGTAAATTAACATTCCTCTGGTCCACTAAGTGTGTCACTTTGTCAAAGAATGCAATAAGATTTGTCTGGCATGATCTGTTTTTGACAAACCCATATTGGCTTTTGATAATGCCTTTGTTTGCATCTAGGTGTTTGCTGATTCGTTGCTTGATTTCTTTTCCAGAATCTTTCCAGGTATTGAGGTCAGGCTGATAGATCTGTAGTTTCCTGGATCCATTTGTTTTCCTTTTTTGAAGATGGGAACTACATCAGCTCTTTGGATCCTATGGATCGATGTTTTTAAAACCCGTGCCACCCCCCCAGTCTACTCCCTTTTCATATCTCCCAGTAATACCAAAACAATAATATAATATTATTTTTGATACCAAAAATAATTTTCTATGTAGCCAGGAAAGAAAGTTCTGCATTTGTATTGTCTCTGAATTTGATGCTCTGTCCATTAGATTTCCAATCTAATGTCCAGCTTCTGAATACCTCTTCCACTGAGTGTTTACTTCCAATATTAGTTTCTTTCATTCTATTTCGAGCTAAGTTTCCTATTTTTTAGAAAAACCTGCATGAAGGGTTTTTTTGCATATTTCTCCTGATATGTGCATTATTGTGAAATAGGCTGTGTTCTCCTTTGTAACCTTCACAAATTCCAAGTAGAGAACCCTAACCACTGGCTCAGACTCTGTAGAGCATTAAATGCCTGTTTTTTGCATTCCAGATAAATTTTAGTGCCTTAAACTTTATGTAGCTAACTATATTTTATTTTAAAATGATGTGGCCACATGTTTGCCTCAACATTTTATTGGAATATAATTCATGCCATTTCTTGATATTGACCATGCTCACTAAAAGTATTTGGAATAGGAATTCAGCAACATCTGGAAGCCCACCCCTTGCCCATCCCTGCTTTAAAATATTCCATTTTAAGTATATTACATGGTCTGTGTGATTCAATTAATAATAGCTGTCATTATGGGATGGATGGCTACAAAATATCTACAAAAACATCTGATGCTCTAGAAATGCTTTGAGTGCCATTACTTGTCCAAATCTACAATACGTGTCAATGTTAGGCAAGGAGCAAGAAGGGATATTTTCTTAGGTCCTTGTGTGGGTATCAAGGTGTACTGCTACAGTTTAAGTGAGGAATTGGCAATTTAACAGTTCATCAACTCACCGATTTATCACATTTCAGATATATAACTGGTTGAATTCCTTTTTATAATGTGGTGAAGAATCTCTTTAAGTACTTATTCATATGTGAAGTGCCTTACTAGAGCTTCTTCACTTATTGCCTTTAGCTGGCGTGTGAGTTATACAAGGCTTGGTATCAAAGCCTACATTGAATCTTGATATGTATGCATCAGGTCTTAAAGAAAAGAACTTAAGTAGTCTTCAGATGCTTTGTTCCAATAAATGGAAACAAAGGAGGTCTTCCCTCTGCCATCTGATATCACTGTAATATAGTGCTATGGTTTGTGATTCTGTGGTTTCATGGCAGCTATATTCAGCAAAACTATCAAGTGTTATTCTCAGGCACTATGGAAAATCAAATCAAATAATTTGAATACTTATCCTTTCAGAATGTTTCCACTTCTTAGGTTGTGGCATAAAAATCCTGAAATCATAGCTGTCTTTAAAAGCTTTAGAAAACTTTTTTTTAGAAATGAACAACATGATCAAAGATAGAGTGGATTGTCAGATCTCTTTCCGAATCAATGTCAGTTTCATCTGTGTTCATTCATACATTTTTTATATTTCTGGATCAGTCTTACGCACGTAAACATACACATATTTGCATTTATATGCAAACCTACTTTGCCACAAAATATATACTTTAAAGATTATTTTTGAAATGCTTTAATGTATTTTATGCACACATTTTATTGCACATATATTTTTGACTAAAACTTATTTTGTTGAGGTTTATTTCATGAAATTTGGGAATGTACAAAAACTAATGGGTAAGTCTTTTAGCCATTTAGTCTTTCCCAATCTGATAAATTAAAGATTTTATGAAATTTATCTCACGTGGTTTCCACTAGAATGGCCATCAAATTAGTTGGGAATTTAGGGATTGAAGTCCAAAATATCTCAAGGCACTGGGTACATCAAGATTAGTTTGAGGAATGCAAATAAAGTTGAAGCATTTAAAAATGCAAACTGTACGAGGACTTGAACATTTTTAGACCTTTCCCAAAGGGACTTCTAATCCAGTTCTTATTTGTTTCTTCATCTATTTTACCTCAGCAGATGCTTGCATGCGAGCAAAAGCAAGATAGTGCTTATGATGCTTGATCTGAAGCATGGACCCTGGGGAGTAAAACTGTATAAGTGATTTGGCAACCTTTGGCTGATTTGTATCCCATGAGAATTTGGTTCGTAATACAAGGTAAAGACTCAGTAAAACTGATCTATGTTTTGGGTTCTTGGACAGCTGTAATAACATTGAAAGAAATAAGTTAGGGAAAAATAATTTTCTCAACCAAATGCAAAGTTCTTAAGACTGTGCCACAGCCATTACCTCGGTAATGAAATTCTGGGGAATCCTGCATGAATGCGGACAGAAATGAAAAAGTGAGTCAAGGATAAACTTCCTTTTGTTGACTACAGTCTCCATCAGCTGGAATTATATGGTAACAGGATTTGTGATCCAACAAAAACAACATATGATAGTTTAAGATGGGAAAAATTGAATCTATGCTTTCACAATCTGTGATTGTGCTTTCCCACAACATGAGTATCAGCATGAGACGCCTTGAAATAACAGGATTTTTTTCTCTGAAGAGCTCAAAGTTTGGGTAGGTATATTCAAATTCTAGGATGCAGTGTTTCACAATTAATGTTTTATCACTTGAAAATCTCTTTGTCTATATTGTAACGTATTGGTGGAATTTGAAGAGTATTGTAATTCAGTGATATGTTCCTACTACCATGTAATTAAATAAATTATTTTTACATTACTGTAGCAAAAAGGAGGACTTACAGAATGCTGCTTACAGATGTGTCTGTCAGAAATAAACCTTTCCCGATTATATTCCGATACAAGCATCTGAAGTTGCATTAGCCTTTGTTTTTTCTTTTCTTCCTTTTCAACTGCACAGCAGGGACTATCTGCTTTCAGATATTTTTTTATTTATTTACTTGAAAACAAGTACAAAATGTTAAGACATTAAAACATTAAATATTAAAAATAAACAGAGACTGAATAGATTAAAACCCAAAAAACACCAAGGTGGGGTGGGATGTTCTTCTAAATCCATTAACCACTTCCGGCATGGAACATCCTCATCAGGGTCCAAGGACAAATGCCAGAACCAGGTATTGAGGCTCGGTTGGAAGGTCAAGAGGGCAGGGCCAGGTGGAAATTCTGGGAGTTGGAGTCCACACATTTTAATGTTGAGGTTTAAAAATACTGTTTTAGAATATGGTCTTCAACTTGATTATAAATAAATATCTTTTTCTCTCAATCTGATAGAATACAGTTAAGCTAATGGCTTTTAAGATTATAGGGAACTTGAATGATGCATAAATAATAAAAAAATAAGTCATTAGTCGTATTTATTTATGGTATGATATATTGTTAAGGCAATCAGTGCTGAATTCTACTTTTCTAAAAGGGCTCCTTAAAAATAAAAGGAAATCAATTTGTAATTAGTCTTTTGCACATTCATTACTCAGTTTGACTATTCACATTTTAATGGGGGCTAGCTTCAGGCCTGTCGTGTTAACATATTAACTTATTTTAGTACCATCTTCTACAAGAATCCATCTTCAATATTATGGCAGCTGAATTCAATGATTTTATCAGCAAGTGAATGATAGATCATTTTTAAAAATCAGTATATAAATTGCACAGAAACACAGCATTGAAAATGTTTTGGTAATATTTTTGTTTGCTGTAACACCTGCCTAGTATTCCTTTTAATAAAGGATCAGCCCTACAATGTATGTACAACAGTGGTATTAGGTCAATAGGTATTTATCGTATTTCATATAGTTATATTCAACCTTTCTTTTATCATGCTAGTATAAATGGGATTTTTAGTCCTTCAGTCTCATGAAATGACCTATTCCAGACCTGCTTAGCTTTATCAAGATGTCTGGATTATGTACCCATAGCCTTTACCTCCTTTGATCCTAAGGCTTTAATCTTAAGTAGCTTTCTACACTGATAGAAAATAACTTAGAGAGGTTTAAACTCTCCCACTCAAAAGTAGTCACCCAGGTGATTCCAAAGGGACCCCTGTTCCTGTAGAGCAGATTTTCAGGGAAATTAAAAAATGTCATACCAATCTTTTTACTGATGGAAGCATCACATGGGCATTATAGGATCTCAGCCTATTTGAAGGAGCAAATAATGCTTATTAGACATATAATAGTTCATGCAACATTGGAAGTAGGCAGAGATATAGCCTAATTTCTACAGTAATGGTTCTACCTCTGCAAAAACAGGTAGTCCTTGACTTATAATCGATCACTTAGTGACCCATACAGAGTTACAACAGAGCCTTCATATGGTACTTACAACTTTATTCTGTGTTGTACTTGTTTGTTCTGAGAACAAGTAGAAATGTATTGAGAAACACTGATGATTCTATTAAAATATTAAGTGAGAAGACTGTAGTGGGATTTCAGCCCACTGTGATTCTTTCCCACATCCTTACATTGCTTTTTAAAATATTATTATAATCTTTTACAGTATATGTAAAATATGACAGTTTCAAAAAAAGCTAAATTATGGAAACAATTCCATGTGATAGTTCTATACCTAGGTGGAATCAAGCACCTCTTATTGTTCTGATATCATCTTCCCATACTTCAATATGTTTCCTAGAAATTATTTTTTTCTGCCAAATTCAGGTGTTTAACCAAAGATTTTGAAAAGTATCCTGGAGTGACTGACCAACCAAAGCAGGTGGAAGGCAAAGAATATATCCAGCATATACAACTGATGGAGTCTATTAATAATCACCAACAGATGGGCATTACAAAAAAATCAAGGTAATTTTTCCTTGCATATAGCAAAGTATTTTAAGATCATTTAATTTAATTTGGACAAGTAAGCTTTAACTAGCAAACATTTCTGGGAGATGAATAATGGAGGCGGGATATTATCCAAAATTTGCCTTCTTTGGAAGGGATAGAAAATCCCGAGATACATTTTCCTATCATTTTAAGAGAGGGCAAACAAACTATGGTGTAAAACCTAAAGCAACTGTTTTAAAAACTAAAAATATATTCTAAATTCTGCTTGCCTCCTGAAATCCAGGAAACAGAGGAAAACTCAAGCCCCACTCTTCCTCCTAGAGTTACCGCCATGTTTGAGTTGGACAGCCATATAAATTTATTTAATAAATAAATAATCAAATAAAATGTTTGTGATGTAGTCCTGATCCCTTCCATCATCATGTATATCCAACCATTGTTCTGGCCTAAACCTGTAGTATTGCTGAATCAGAATAAAAATATAAAATTTTGGACCAGATTGCCCAAATATATGAATAGTCCTGCAGGAATGCCCTTAAGTTCTAATTCATTCCCTAAATATCAAAGAGCATATTAGGGAGGGGGGGCTACAAAAAGCAAGATACAACCAATTTTCTTCTATCTGCCAACTAAAATTCCCCTTGTTCGTCTGACTAAATGGTGACTTTTTTCCATCTGAGATAATTGATTCTTGATCTCCGTGATCCCCAAAAGAAGTGGTCATATTCAGTTTTTAAACAGAAGGGGAAAATAATTTTTCTTCATAATCTGCTGTTTGCTATTTCATTGAGGAGATCAGGGTGTGATCCTCATGGTGCAGAAAGAAGTTTTTTTGAATACAAGAGTTAAAAAAATAAAAGATCCAGTAGCTCCATTTACTTTATTTACTTTTAGGAAAACACTTTCTCATTTCAAAATAAGGCCATCCTATCCATCTTTCAACTATTTAATAAGTATATAGTTTTCTTTGCTAATGTCTTCTATAGTGTTCTGCTTTGGATGTACATTCAGCTTCAGATGTGCACTCTCTTTTTAGTAAGGATAATCAACCAACCTTCCCTTGTTCTCTAACCCTGATCTGGGCACTTTCAGCAGTTTCTGTTTTTGTAGCAAGCCCCATATCTCTGAACCCATAGAAGAATGTGAGAAATGTAATAAAGAAATAAAGCTTATAATCTAAAATGTACAGTAGCTTCCATTGTACTGAGAAATTGTGGTGTGAGATTTTTCTTACACCACCATTTACATTCACAGTTTGCAGAAATATAATATTTCAACATGTATAATGTAAATCGGTATCTTGTCAATAGAAAAATATAGTTTTGTTTAATCTTACGAATTCTTCCTTAACATCCATGAATTTGGCCACATCTTTAGATTATTTATTTATTTGTATCTTGTCTTTATTATTTTTACAAATAACTCCAGGCAATGAATATGTTCAACACACCATCCTCCGACAGTGGTGAATATCTGTAGCTTGGATGAGGGTGAAGCTTGTGGGTTGGTTTCCAAACATTTTGTTACAGGCTAGGTAATATCTTCAGTGGAATTTAGGAGATGTCAGTGTTGGTGTTTTTCTGCTTATAAGGGCTTTGTGTGATCAATAGGTCTTTTGTTGGGAAGGTGACGTCAGGTGAGGGTCATGCCAGGTAAAGGTCTTGTGATGAGTTGAGTGAGGGTCATGTCAAGTGAGGGTCATTGGGACGTGAAGTGCTGGTTGTGTGAGGTTGCGTGTGTTGTTTGAGGGTTGGTGCCGACATTACTTTGGCTATGCAGTTGATTTGAATTCTGAGGAGTTTGTAGGCTGGTTGAAGGTTGATGTGTCTGTTGGTGGAATTGCTTGTGGACTGCCAGACTTCGATAAATTTGCATGCATGGCAGGTCTCCCACTTTGTAGCCTGGCACCTTAACCACTAGACCAGGGGTGTCAAACTAAACCACGGGCCGGATGCGTCATGCTGAAACTGCGCCCACCCCATTGCCGGCAATGGAAAAAAAGTCAAAACACATCACATGACGTTGCGAGTTTGACACCCCTGCACTAGACCAAACTGGCTTTCTAGAGTGCATTCCTGGAGCTCCTCAGTGTGTGATGAGTCCCCTTACAATTTTCCTTTTGCATGAAAAATCTATGCTTGCATTCATTAGTATAATAGTCAGATGTTGGGATTGCTTTCTTGTCTTAGGAATAATGTCAAAAAACCTCTTAGCGTGAGTAATCTGTAATATACTCAAGTTCCCGTTCAGCAAATGAAGGAAATATTATTGACAGAATTAATATGACTTGCATAATTTTAAAGGACATTTAGCAAGATATCCTGTGCCTCATGAAGAATAGATGAAATTGCAAGGAGTATTTTGCTTCAGTGTCAGGTTTCCTGAAACAACTTCATCAAAGTAATGTGCTGAATTTGAAATTTAGTTGTTGATGAATATTGATGTGTTTCTATTCTGCTTCAAGGTAAGAAATAATAAATTATCCTTTTTAAAAAATAAGTTAGAATTTAAAATACGTTTCTTTAACACCATCAATTGTTGATGCCACATGTCAAATGACTTGAATAGAGAAATCCTTCTAAAATCAGCCCCATTTATTAATATTGTTTTTATGACAGTTTAATGTTGTTTTTCTTTTGCAATCTCCCACTGAGATTTAGGAATTAATTTTTCCCCTTTTTTCTTATCATTAATCTGATAAGGATGTAGTATGTAAAAATATAAACAGTTCTCCCTCTCCGCATTTTGAAGTATCCCTCTTCCCTTCTTAAAACTCAGTCTTGTCAGAATTAAGGGCAAATCTAATGAATGACATTAATAGACAGGCTTAAATCTTATAGCCAAAAAGTCATTCTATGAATTGATGCAAACAATTGAGTTAAATGTTTTCCCAAACAACACTGTTCAAAATAAAATGTTCAATATTATAACCAATCTGTTAAAAATACTTTTGATAGTAGACTTTGCCCAAGTTCATGTTTTTCTAGCTTACAGTACGCTAATTTATTGCTGGTTAAATGTGATATTCTACTTCCTTGGCTTGCAACTGTTTAAGAAATAGAAAGAAAATTAATTAGCACTTCTGTCACAAATTACATCAGTTGGGGTAACAATTCCTGGTCAGATGGATATGATTTCATTAGATGCTGTATTTCTGGAAGGGTAATTGAAAGTTACAAATACTCAAGATATGTATTTTCTCCATCACAATCCTCTGAAAGTAGACTTTCTGTTGTCCACTATCTGGTTTACCACTGTAACATACAACTGCAGCATGGACATCAGTATTTGGGAAATGATTACACTGATCTGTGTTTGTAGTGGTTGTTACTGTAATCCACCAAGACAGGCTGCATTTTGCTAATCCACTAGCTTTTGAGTAATCAACATATTTAGGAAATTCTTCAGTTACTTTCATCAGATAATATCACAGCAAGCCCGGTTTTTGAATACTACAGAGGGCTGCCATCTTTTTATAACATTATTTCTTCTTTTCCTCCAATATGCCCATAAAAAGATAGTTTGGACTATCCTAACATGCTCCAGTGCATAGCAATTAAGTGACTAAAAGTGACACTCAAGCAAAGAGGTTATTTCATCAAGCACTGCCTGACAAATTAGCTTGTCTTCTGTTGCTTTATCTGTCCAGTTGTGTTGGTCAGTCAGGAAGAATTGCAGTGATGTTTGTGATTTGTGCAGCTGATCCAGTTAGTTTTTATTACGAAGATTTGTCACACCCACAGATCAATCAGCTTTACAACATTGGGCCATGATTAACAAAGTGACCTTTAGAAATTACAAAAGCACTTGGAAGTTATTTAAGCATCTTGATTAGACTAGGTCTTCAGTAAAACAAGTCAACAAGATCTGTAGACTACAAACTGTTTGCAGCTCAGAAGACTGGTAGCCTAATAATGCTTAATAATGGTTATGATTAGCTGAGATTGTTGTTTTAATTTTAACAAGATCTCAGAGGTGTGGTGAAACAGTTTCATTTATTTTTTTAGAAGGTTTGTATGCAATAAAATGGGAAATTTGTGACCAAGTCCCCTTTAAGAAGATATTGGAAACAATTTGTCTGAAATGGTATAGGATTCCCTGCTTGAGCAGGGGATTGGATTAGTTCTGTTATTCTGTTGTTCAGTGTCTTTGCAACAGATTTGTAGCACAGTTTTCTATTGCACCAAAATTGTAATATAAGTCCTAATCTTTAAATATACTTTGAGTGTTATTAAAATGAACACAAAAACCCACACTTCAAATGTTTAAAAAAACAAACAAAAGGAAACTCTCTAGTTCCACCCATCTCTGTTGTGATGAAATTCTGTCCTTCAAAAATAATTAAGTGTATCCCTCTAGGCCAGGGGTAGGCAACCTTGGCTCTTTTATGACTCGTGGACCTCAACTCCCAGAATTCCTGAGCCAGCCAGCTATGCTATGCTGGCTCAGGAATTCTGGGAGTTGAAGTCCACAAGTCATAAAAGAGCCAAGGTTGCCTACCCCTACTCTAGGCTGAAGTGGGATCTTTTTATTTTATCAACCACCTCCAGCATAACACTCCCCTGTTGGGGCCCTAAACCAACTGGCAGAGTCAGGCATTCAGGCCCTTACAGAAGGTCAGGAAAGTGGGAGCAAATTCAGATTTGCTTATTTAGAACAGTCAGGAGAGCATTTATAAGTATATATCTTCAGAAAGGGAACTGAAATAGATGTCCTTAATTTGGTGTATTCAGAACGTCATAACAAGTGGCGGGGAAAATATGGAACATTTTGCCACAAAATGAGGGCAACAGAATGAATTCCTACCTCCCACCAAGAAGCACAATAGGAGTCCTTAACCAAAAATTGGATCCATATTTTTTTTGTATCCGTTTTCCTCATCTTTACCTGCTCTATGGTCTGTTAGGACTATAACACACTCTATATTAGCTGGAAATTCTTGAAGTTGCAATCAAGTGTCAAATTGGGGATGATTGACTTACTTAACATCTTTAAGTTCCCCTTGATTGCTCTGTGTGATGACCCAATTTTATAACACCTCCATCATAACCTCCAAGATTTATTTTTCTACTCTTGCATATGAATTATTTTAGAATATAAATAGCAGTTGTTCAGTTAGCCTAGGATTCTCCCTGTCAGATAAATAATTCTAATTTCTGTATACAGGACGAACATTTACCAAGGAATGGGTTTTTTCCATGCTATTTTGGGAGCCATTAAAAATCCCTTTTGTGCATTTTGACACTTGGGCTGAAAGTGACCTCCTTCTGCTTTGAATAAGATAGGAGGAGGTAGGTTGCCAGGAATGAATAGAAAATAAGCTGGAACAATAAATGGTGTGACTTCTGCTGTCAGTTCAGCCTCAAAGTAGTTGACTGTCACACTTTAGCAAAAACTGGAACAAAGACTTTTCCTAAAACTGACAATAGTAATTGTGCAGATTGAAATAGAAACTGTCAAAAATTTGGTTGATTAAGCCTATGAACATGATGGTAATGTCTAATGAGAAGTTTTTTGGATTTGAGAAATTTACTGGCATGAGAAATTCACTAACCTTCCTCTAGAGTAAGTTCTTCTCTAGCAAGAAAGCAGGCAGATCCTGGGGGGAGGTGTCCCAAAAAACTAAGGTGGTAAGCAGTGACTATGCACTCAAAGCATAAATGCCATTTTTGTTTTTCATTCCTCATGCACCCAACATATGTTTAAAAAAAAAAAAAGGCAAGGCTTTGGTTCTGCAGAGGTGTAGACATTTTTTTGGCTTTTGTTATTTTGTTATCCCAACAGCAATAAAAACAGCTAAAGTACCTAAATTTAGCCTAAAATAACTAAATTTTAGGATTTTTTTAGGCTACCTAGAATTAAGTGAGCAGGCAGCACACACATTTTTGTAAATGAATTATTTATAAATTAAATAAATATATTTGAAGAGAAACTTTGATAACACAAACCAACGAAAAGAAAACCCTGATATTCTAAAAAGAAATCCAGGAAATATACATAGCAGGAGAAACAAGAGTAATCCTGTTATTCCTTGGATTTCTCACTTTCCCTTAATTCAGCAGCTGCTCAGCCCTGTAGGCTGAATGTGATATCACCCTGGCAACACATTGCTGCATGTTTGACTGTGTGGTGAAAATAAGGTGCTATATGCAGTGGTTCACATCAGACATGGGAAATGACAGGCTGATTCAAGGTCTGTGTCCTTCCCTTGGCTGAAGGAAAATAACAGAAAGGGAACAGATTAGCTGTCAGCTCCTGCCGCTGTCATTTGTGTCACATATGCTTGACTTGGTCAAAGTCACCCTGTCGGCAGAATCCGCATACTGCTTGGGCAAGTCAGTTGCTTCAACATTTCAGATCTCCTTAAATGCCAAATAATGCTTGCCCTCCTCAAAATGCCTGCAGCTTAATGCAAATATTGTTCTTCCTCAAGCCATGTACAAGACACGGAGCATTTGCGCATCTGATAGGAAGATGCCACATGCCCTGACCTTGCATTAACATTGATGGAAGTTCCCCAAAGATATTTTAATACCCAAGGATTATGTGGGATGCCTAACTCATTGACAACATCTAGGCCAGTGGTTCTCAACCTTTTTAATGCCGCGACCCCAACCGGTCGTAAGTCGAGGACTAAACCGGTTGTAAGTCGAAGACTACCCAACCGGTCGTAAGTCAAGGACTTTCCCTGCCCAGGAGCGCCGCGCATGCGTGGTTCTGCCTCCTGCGCCGGCCGAGGCGTAGCTGGCAAGCGGCAGAGACGGAGCAGGCCGACCACCAGCTGACCCAGCCCAAGGGAGGTAAGGCACCCGCCGGAAAAGGGGGAAAAATGGCGGACAAAAAAAATGGCGGACAAAAAAATGGCGGACAGCCTTGCTTGGCGACCCCCATGAAATGGTCGATCGACCCCAAATGGGTTCCCAACCCACAGGTTGAGAACCACTGATCTAGGCAATCTTGCTTAATCTCAAAACCCTAAGCAAAAATAGTGGTTAAGATGTCTATCTAGGAATGGAGAGACCAAGGGTTTGGTGTACCCTTAATCACAGAAATTGTCGGGTGACTTTGTACCACTCATGCTCTTGTAAGGAAAAATAGAAGGAACGTTATCTGTGTTCCCTTGAGCTCCTCAAGGAAAGGCAGGATGCAAATTAATGTATAAACAATATGGAGCTGAGTTGTCTTTGCCTTCTTACAAGTTTTTTGTTGTTATTATTTAGCTTCCCAGACTAGCTTACAGGCCTTGAAATTTCTTATTATCTTACCTCCCAGTACTAAAAAATTAAATGTCATGTATGCGAATAAGTCATAAAATGGAGAGCAAATGCTTAGAATATCCTAGATGGATTATATTTCATTCTAACCAGATTTCAGTCAGGTTACATTTTGAGAATCAGGTTAGTTTGTTTTAACCAATCTCACCTAACTGGTTATGCTGGAGGATTGGAAGAAAACAGTGCAGAATTTTATCTGGCTAGATAAATATGCTACTACGGTAATATTGATTTTTAAATGTCAGCAATATTACATGTGCATTCATTGTTGAGCATGGCAGTATGTTTTTGCACATTGTTATAAGATTTCTGAAGGTAGAAAATCCTAAGTGAATACACAAGATGTTGGGTAGCTAAACTAGCTAGCCATGCATGATCAGCAGTGATTCAGATCTATGCTCTGCTTTAAGAAATATCTGAGCTCTTGTATGGGAACATGATGTACAGTTGTAAATAATAACATATGTTCAGTGGACCATAATGATCAGTGACTCCATTGTTAACTTTGGGGATTTTTCTTTGCAGAAAAAATGCCCAGTTTGGCTAGCAGCTTGATGTGGCATAATCCTAGCCTCATTCTAAGGACTATAAAAAAATTAAATTTTTGTAGCCTCAACCCATATCAATGTCTGTTTCTGTAAACTATAAGAAGAGTCATAGGTAAATTTCTGTAACAGTTTTAGTAAAAAAAAATAAGTATTCATCTCACTATATTCTGCCCATAACAGTAAGTAAAATGTAACTGCTATGACCACCGAAAATTTGATTAACCACCGTAAGTGGGGGTTGAACTCTTAATTCAGCTCCTTGAAATGGAGCCATCTGCTCCTGAAATGTAAAAAAATATGTCTATATTTTCTATGTCCATATGAAAACAATATCTTCATAAGGAATTTGGAGATCTAAATCTATGTTTACCAAAGTATTCCTTTACTTTTGTGGTCCTAACCAGCTCAGTCAAAATAATATTCAAAATCTTTTGTTCGTGCTGTCAAACACATCTATGCATATTTGTTTTCTTACAGAGTTGAATATATTGATTCCAATAAACAGAATGTGACTAGATCTCCAACTGCTAATCAGGAGGAGGTGGATGATCTGGCAACCTTAGAAATATTAGATGAGGTAAGATATTTTTATTTTGTTAGGAATGTTTTAAATTGGAATGATATGCATGCTTCGAACAAATAATCACTTTTGACTGTTTTGTACAGTGTGTCTTCTTTCAAGCTATCTGCCTTTTGCTGTATTTAGGTTGGGGTTAGATAGTATTGAGGAAAAGTCATTTAATCTTAGAACTATTATACAAACTAAAACAAGTGATTTCCACACTTCATCAAACTTCATTTTAATTTGTCTATTAAGAAATATACAATAATAACTAGTAGTATTTCTTCAAATGTACAACGGTACTTTATTTTAAAATGCATGTATTCATGATACTAGTATACTGTTTATATCAGACAGCACTGCAACCAAAACTATGTTTGAAATTATGTACATCAAAATTCATATGTTACTGTGAATTTAAAACAAAAAGTTCAAGAGACAGAATTTGACAGATTGATAAAAATGAGAAACTGACAAAAATAAAATTAATATATCTACGGTATTTATCACTACAGCTATATTAACTACAGCTAGATTAACACATTCCACAGCCCCAGGTTTTTTTCTCCCTCTCTATCTCAAATTTGATAATACTGATTTGAATCAATTATATAAATCACATTCTAAAACCAGAATCCAGTTCATGAAAGGATAAAAAAACAAAATTGTAAGAGTCCAACATTCTCAGAGGTAACACGGAAAAAGCTTTTAATTGATTATACAAAAATTTGGTGAACATTTTCTGCATCTATGATGTCATTATAAAGAAGTTTATAGCCATGAGATTAAAGATTGCCTACCAAAAATTATAGAGGAGTGGGAAAAAAACACTTTTCACAAGATTTGGAGCCATAAAAATCTGATATTTGTGAAGTTATACTAAGATCAAACTCTCACTTCATATTGCAATGATATGAGTCCTTAAAGTATAGTAGTCTGACTTGAATCAGCCATAGATTTGTATGCTAAATGTCTCATAAGGTTCAATCCTTGATATCTCAAATGTTTCAAAAACAATAAGTTAAGAAAGAACTAAGATTTTTGGATCACCACTGCCACAGCAGAGAATGTGGATAAGGAAGGAGTTATATCTCATTAATAGATCAGAAGCTTGGCAATCTGAAGTCTCCCAGAGTCAGTCCTTGACGTTTTGTTCTATTGTTTAATTGCTGATGATGGACATATGGATCCAAGAGGTTATCATGCAGGTAGAATTCAAAATTAAGAATGTTGGTTTCATAGCTAAAGAAATCTAATATATTTTATTATTAACCTCTCTTCAGTTAGGTACTCCTTTTAAAAAAAGAAACATAACTAGCTTTTTTCTTCCTCTTTCTCTCAATTTCAAACAGAATACAATAACAGAGCAACTTGAGAAGAGCTACACTCGAGGTCAAATTTACACTTATGTGGGAGATATCCTCATTGCAGTCAACCCTTTTCGGAAGTTAGATCTTTACTCTACAAAGGTGTGGAAATTAGTTTGTTTGAGGGGACCGTTGGAAAGGTCAGAATTTGGGCACTGAGCACTGAAGCATCTTAAAAGGAAATTCTTCTTGCTTACTATATATACCTGACAGCTATCATGGCTTGTTTCCATGTCCACAGAAATTTCTTTGGGATGTTTGCTTATTTGTTAGAAGCAGTAACAGAGTGAAAAAGAGGATGAAGGTGCTAAGGTACATGTTGCAAAGGTCTCATTTCCTATTCTTCACTATGGAAATAGTTGAAGAGGAAATAAAGAAAAAAAAAGTACATCTGAGCATTATAATTAAGCAAATTAAGCAGATTAGGTAATGAACAAGTATTGGTATTCATTGCCACTCATAAGTGGGTATGCTCAGAAGGCCAGGAAAACAAGAGAAATTGAGAAATTAAATTGAGAAATACTTTGTCCCAGGAGTCAGGTTTGCCAGGCTTTTAAAAATGTGACATGTTGTAGTAAATATTTTTCATTGTAATCATATTTTAATTTATCGGGTTTGTTTTAACCAGTATCTTTGTTTAATGTGGCATAAAACAATAGAATACATAATATTTACCTTTTCTTTCCATCAGCATTCCAGATTGTACATGGGGGCTAAACGGACTCACAACCCTCCACATATTTTTGCTATGGCTGATACTGCATATCAATCAATGGTCACCTATGGGTCAGATCAGGTAATGCTAATAATTCCAGTAGAAATGTGCAGCAGCAATTAAATCCAATTAAATCCAAAGCAGAAAAAAAGAGTATTGGAAAAAGCGTAGGCCAGTGTTTCTCAGTCTTGGCATCTTTAAGATATGAAGGAATTCTGGGAGTTCTTAAAGATGCCAAGGTTGAGAAACACCGGCATGGGCATCGTGCAATCTGTGCCCAATCTCTCTCTAGCAGGGGTTCTCAACCTTGGCAACTTTAAGACTTGTGGACTTCAACTCCCAGAATTCCCCAGCCAGCAAAGCTGGCTGAGGAATTCTGGGAGTTGAAGTCCACAAGTCTTAAAGTTGCCAAGGTTGAGAACCCCTGCCAGTAAAGCGTTCTTTTTTTGCTTTTCCTTTGGAGTCAAATCATTATAGATCCCTAGTTTCAAGACTAATGCCCCAAACCTAATGCCCATTTTGATTGCATAGAACATTAATTATAACAAAAATATCCCTGGCTCTTAATTTCAGTGTATTGTCATTTCTGGAGAAAGTGGTGCTGGGAAGACTCAAAGTTCTCACCTGCTAGTTCAACAGTTGACAGTCCTTGGAAAGGTAAGGTAAATTTTAAAAACTTTAGGGGTGGGGTTCAGTTTATCTCTCAAATAGTTTTTATGTTAAATGATCTCTACTTATTCTTTAATAGGCTGGGAAATTAGGAACTGTAATACAGCTATTTGTCAAAGGTAAAATTGGGTGGAGATGGGTTCAAATAAGTGTGTTCCCATCAGGGAATTAAAATGTGAATCAGCAATTACCTACAATATCATAATTAAACTAACAATTACATACTAAAGATGTTATCTACTTTGGCTAATGAAACATCTACAAAAAAACAGTTAACCTCCGAGAGCACCAAGGACTCCACAATTCCTCTCTGAGCTACAAATATCTTCTTCTATTGATAAAACATGTGTCTTGTATGTATCCTGAGAAGATGAGTTTTTAAATAGTTTCTAATTTTTAAAATATTTACCTAGGCTAATAACAGGACTCTTCAAGGAAAAATTATCCAAGTAAACAATCTGTTGGAAGCCTTTGGAAATGCAGCCACTGTTATTAATGATAATTCTAGCAGATTTGGGAAATATCTGGAAATGAAATTCACTTCTAAAGGAACTGTTGTAAGCGCTCAGATTTCAGAATATCTTCTAGAAAAGTCTAGAGTCATATGTCAAACTGGGTAAGTGAAAGGAAAGGAGCATTTTATCAAAAAGGAAAGCAGGGATTTTTAGAATAAAGTTTCGGTTCAAATAAAAACAATGTGTGATAGAGATGAATTCAAATGTTATGGGCATGGGATGAGATTTTATGCAGCATTTGAAATAAAAACCTTGACATGACATGCATTAATATAATTCAGGAATTATATATTCAAGTTATAAATTTTATATAATCCAATAAACATGCATTGATACATACACTCTATGTAAATACAGTCATGGGTGAATCGGTAAATGTGGGATATCAAGGATTGAACCTTATGAGACATTTAGCATACAAATCTATGGCTGATTCAAGTCAGACTACTATACTTTAAGGACTCATATCATTGCAATATGAAGTGAGAGTTTGATCTTAGTATAACTTCACAAATATGAGATTTTTATGGCTCCAAATCTTGTGAAAAGTGGTTTTTTCCCCCTCCTCTATAATTTTTGGTAGGCAATCTTTAATCTCATGGCTACAAACTTGATCGATCGTTCATCATAAACTGCCTGATTCACTTTTTTTTTTTGCTAAAGGGGAATCACTAAAACATACAAAAAGAATAACTTATAAATAATGTTTTACAAGTCTATAAAATAGACAAGAGATTACTTTTCTCAACTTTAATCTGCTTCCAGGGCAGGTCTGTTCTTATATTTTATTAGTGTGTAAGCACTTAGCTTTAATCCCTTCCTAAAGTATGTAATGGCTTTGAGAATGAATGTTAATATTTAGAAAGTGAAATAAATTTTAATGTTTAAAATGCAACATGAATTTCAAAATCAGAACAAACAGATAAAAATAGGAATTCTTAGGTTTTATTTTAGTAGCTACAGAATTGTAATTTGTTTGCTTGCTTTGTTTCAGTGGGGAGAAGAATTTTCATATGTTCTATTACATCTATGCTGGATTGGCAGAAAAGAAAAGATTACCTCATTATAAATTGCCAGAAAATGAACTCCCAAGGTAAAAAAAAAAAACACCTTTGTATTTTCTTGCTGTAGTTCGCTAAATTCTCAAATAAATATATTTTCAAGTTAATTTAAATGGAAAAAATCAGATGCCTTATATTAATTTTCCATGTGAAAATTTTCATTTCCCTCCCCCACACCATTTAATTAGTTATCTACAAAATGAACTTCGGACACCAGCGCAAGAGGTCCTGAACAATAATTGTTATAAATCCAAGTTTGCATCAGTTGAGCAGTGCTTTAAAGTGATTGGCTTTACAATGGAGGTAGGTAATTGCTGGAAATATTTAATTGGAATAATTAACTGGAAGTATTTAATTGGCTGGAAATAAGGCTGGCATTCTGACAAATTAGCCATCAATAGATATACAAATATGAACAATACCTACATACTGTGTAAAAGAGACAATAAACAAACTAAAAAGGGAGCAAAAAGACCAAAACCCCTCCCCACCAGCAATCAATACCCAGATGTGCATAAATTAACTCCAAGATTAACATCAAGCCAACAATCAAGAAGTAAACAATATGCCAATCAAGGAACTACCAAACAAGCTAACAGTAAACAGTTCAACCAAAGAACCTCCACAACCTACCAATACTGGCAGAATATACAGATAAACTGAGAGCAAACCTCATTCCTTTCTAGTACTGATGATGTTGCTACTTTGTTTAGGTCAGTGATGACGAACCTTTTAGGGACTGAGTGCCCAAACTGCAACCCAAAACCCACTTATGCATTGTCGAGTGCCGGGTGGATGTGGCCCATTGGCTGGGCATGGCCAATTGTGTAGGTGTGGCTGCAGTGGTAACGGCAGACTGGGTGGAACTAAAAAGTTCAATCAATCAATTCCAACTTTGCAAGATCTCTTTTTTCCTGTGAGAAGTTGAAATTGACTGATTGAACCTTTTCTTTTTGCACATGGTGGCGGAGGCCTAAAGCGAAAAGATTTTATAAAACCCAGCTGAAGGCCTAGGGCTGGGGCGACGCTGCACGTGCCCACAGAGAGGGCTCTGAGTGCCGCTTCTGGCACCCGTGCCATAGGTTCGCCACCACTGGTTTAGGTAATGAAACATCTACAAGAAAACAACCAAGCATTAAGGATTTGTCAAATATATTTGTGATTTTAAGCATTATAATACCGAAATGAACATTTTGTATTATTGGGGCCTCTGCAGCAAATTTCAGATTTCATTAAAATGGCAAAACATGTAATCTAATATTGGAACACAAGCTCCATACCACCTCTTAAGTAGAAAAGGAGCAAAGTTTAGGTCATGATGCCTATCACTGCATTTGCGCCCCCCATGGAAGCCCATGAAAACAGAAGAGCCGCAAGAACTAAAAATGTATGAACATAAGAGCCAGTAGGATGGGAAGCTTCCATTGTTGGAAAAGGTAAATCATTCAGGTATTAGTTCAACAGCTGCCATGGATGCTGACTGGATGACTGTAAGCCAATCATTCTTTGTCTGTGCAAGCAGTTTCACAGGGCTGTTTTTGTGAGGGTGGAAGGGAGGAGAAAATAATTTGTTTGCTGCCTTTAGCTTTTAGAGGGAAGATTAAATAAAATCCAAACAAATGATAAATATTAGAGCACAGCCATTTATTTATTTATATTATCCTGTCTTTGGGGACACAATGACTCAGCAGTTAAATATGCTGGAAAGCTGACAACCGAGGTTCAAAACCCAAGAGCCATGCAACGGGGTGAGCTGCTGTTATTCACCCAGCTCTTGCCCACCTAGTAGTTGGAAAGCATATAAATGTGAGTAGATAAATATGATCTTATGATTTTATGATCTTGATCTTAGCCAAAAGGCTGAGATGTGAGGGCGATCTGGCTGCGACATCTGTCACCCCATTGATCGCCAGGGTTGATTCGGCTGATCTGGCTGGCTAGGCTGGTGTCCCCTTCCTCCCTCACCGCTCCATGTGCATCCCTCCCGAAGCTGCGCGTTCGGTGGAAGAGGACGACCATCCTAGATAGAAGGAGTTACCGATCTTCAGTAGATAAATAGGTACCAATTTGGTGGGAAGGTAATAGCGTTCTATACGCTTCGGCTTATAGTCATGCTGGCCACATGACATGGAAGTATCTTCAGCAATGCTAGGTCCCTTGGTTAAGAAATGAAGATGAGTGCTGTCCCCTAGAGTTGGAAACTATTGGACAGGGAATTTTTTTTATCTATCATGCCTTTATTATTTTTATCAATAATTCAAGGTGGCAAACCCACACAATATTCCTCCCTCCTTCTATTTCCCTCACTATAATAAACCTGTTGAGAAAGAATGAATCATCCAGCTGATTTTCATGCCTAAGGTGGGACTGGAACTCACAGTCTCCTAGTTTTTAGCCTGGTGCCTTAACCACTAGACCTGACTATTGATATTGCTGAATATCAGACCTAATATTCATTTTTTGGCCTCAGTTATTTGGTCGGGTTATTTTGAATTCTAGGAATTTCAACCCCAGTATATCAAGAAGGAAGGAGATAATTGACCTTGGAAATATGCTGGGGTCACTGAATAAAACACATTGATAGGAACCTTCTCTGATCATGGTTTTTCAAGGATGTTGGAACTTGCAGAGTTTTCTAAGAATATCTATGCTTAGAGTTAGATATTGACACATGGCTAGTGAACAAAGGTTATGTTTCCTATGTGTATCTCTTTTTGTGATCTCTTACTCAATTACCCACTATTTAACCAAGAAAAGAATGAACAACTGAGCAATAATTATTGCAAGTATGATAGTTGAAGGTACTTAATCACCAGCTCTTTCCAGGGCAAGCAAACTCTTGAGAAGAAAGGTAATGAAGAGGGTAAGACATCTTTATTTAGGTCTCCAAAACATGAAAGTGGGACCTAAATAAATAAATCTTGCAGTTGTAAGCAGATGTAAAATCAACTCTAATTGACTTTTTTTGGTCTAATTATATTTAACACTGTTGAAATCTTTTGGGTGCAATACAAAATCTCAAAAAACCAATAAGAATCTTTTCAGACTCTTAATCTTTCATAGTGTTTAAGATCATCTTTATTTATCAACTAGTTGCCTCAAGACTTTAGAATTGTATAATTTTAATATTATAATTTTAATTACATCATTTTGGCATTAATTCACATTAGTTTTGGAGAAATAAGAAGGTGGGATAAGCAATGTTTGCCTTATTTTTACACTTCAAGTTCTGTTTTTATTTTCCCATTTACAAAAGGCTGGGTTATTTAACTTACCCTCCTCATGAATTCTTAAGAGATTTGTAAATATGATAGCCCCCATTGATAGCCCCCCTTTAACTAGGTGAAGGTAAACAGAAATGCCCAGTACCATAAATATGACATCTTCAAAAATGTAACCATAAAATCCAAAATTCTGCTGTATTTAGAAAACATCCTATATGGATTACAACACAGAAAAAATAATCTGACTATTTAAGGAAAACATTTTGTTTTTCACTGGAAAGCAGTGTGTTCCACTAATAAATACATTTAAAAGCTAGATGTCACTTTGCATCATAAAATCAGACTAAAAGTTATTTGGTAAACCCAATTAAAAGGGGGGGGTGGGAGCAGGGAGAGCTGCTGGAAATAAATGGCATTCATGCCATACAAATTAGATTGAGCCATATTTAATGTAATAGGGGACTAGCCCCAAGATGTCAGCTGCAATATATGTGTTACTGTGAGATGACCAAAATTGGCATAATAATTTCAGTCAATCCCAGAATAATTTAGAAAATAAATACAATGGCTAAACGGCTATTTTATTTAAACACCCACTGTATATTGCACAGTGCAAAAAAAACCAAAATACATTATACACTGGATTCCCATGATAAGGTATAACCAAACACATTGTTATGCTTAGTACTTAGGCATGATGCAAACTTGGGCTAGGTTAAGATTTACATATAATTTAAAAAAACAAATGACTTTCTCCTTTACTTGTCATTTACTGTTGCAGCATCAAGAACTAGCTTTCAGTAAACAAAAATCCAATTACAGAATAAAACAGAAAAGACTGAAGTCAATTTTCTTTTGTGGGTTTATTTCAGGCAAATCAACTAAATATAGTGTATTATTATAAGCATGAGTAATGGCAAGTTTCAGAATTATATTGTAGTTCAAAATAGCCAGAAAGAACCTGGGTGGGAATTGCAGTCCAACATAAAATGAGGAGTAAGAGAGAGATGTGTCAAAAAGCCATCCTATTGCTGCCCGTTTGTTGATTGCTCAAAATTGGAAGAGCAAAATTTTACCTACAATGGAAGACTGGAGATTGAAGGTTTCATATCTTGCTGAAATGGCAAAGATCTCAGCTTACCTGAAAAATCATTCAAATGAACAATTTTTATTGATATGGAGAAGTTGGATTGTTTATATTCAAAAGAAGCATAGAGTGGTGGAATATNAAAAAAAAAAAAAAAAGCCATCCTATTAATTTTAACGCTGAAGATTTACCTGGGTAACATTTTTAATGTTCCAGTGACATCCTTGCAGTTAAGATTAAGGTGAAGTGAAAGACGTGCAGCTATTAGAGAATGCTGATTTTTCACGAAGTGCAAAATCAATATTTTAACTGACTATATTCCCTGTTCTGCCTGTTTTAAGACTGAATTGGAATGCTTTTGTACACTTATTTTTCAGGAACTAGAGTGTGTATACTGTGTACTTGCTGCCATTTTAAATCTGGGTAACATTGAATTTTCATCAGAGGTAACAGAGTACATGATTGACAAGAGCATAATTTCCAATCCAATGCCTCTGGAGAATTGTGAGTTATTCTAATCTATAAAATAGACTGGCAATGTGTTTCTTATAGTTCAGGAGGGCTTGGTTTCAGGGAAGTCTGCATATCAAGCATAGATAATTTGGAGCCTCCAAATATTTTCATCTTTAACTCTTATGATCTTTGCCAAAATGTTCGGTGTTCAGAGATTGCAGCATTTGAAGCAAAAGCTGAAGAATGCCTGTTTCTTATATCTAACCTATAGGACTACAACCTTATTCAGCTGTTTTGTTCATTATGAAATCTGAAGCATTCAGAACATAGCAGAATACTATTGATAAAATTCTTCAAGGCTTCCAATATTATTGACCTTGTCAACAAATGGGAGCCTGGTTTGACCGAATTAAGCTTGTGGATGCCTACAAGTATAACAAGGTTTCCCCTGATGACATTCAACCTCAATGTTTTCTGTTGAGATATTATGCCGAATAACATTAGTGTAGCCGTTTAGAAAAAAAGGGAAAAGTCTACAGTGTCATGTATACTTAAGAAAACTTCAAATCCTAGTGAAAAGCTTGCATGGCTTTGCACTGTCAAATCATAAAAGATTTGATGTAGGATAGGCAAGCTGTAAACCCAGGGCTGAAATAGCAGACAATCACTCCAGACATTTTAATAAGTAGTGTAATTCTTTCATTGCAGTTTTCTGTTTAAAAGAAGTATTAAACATAAGGAAAGACAGGCCAAAAGGAGAAGAAAGGTTATGTCAATTCAGTCCTCATTAGGTTAAAATACTTTTCTATTTCTGCAGATCTTAGGGTCTTCCTGAGATCTTTCTCATGTGGGGTGGTGAGTGCCTTTTGGCTATATAAAAATTAGTATTCCAGGGAATTAAATTTGTTGTTAGCATATTGGGTAATTTTCCTCTTTTTATTATTGATTCATATTTCTTTGTACTTTCTGTGGGGCAATTTTCTTTTCATTTGAAAAACTCCCTTCCTTATAATATTGAATAAGAATAGGAAGCATATACTGAGATTACCAAAGAGTGCCTTAGGAGAGGTATTTATACAAAACTAAGTAACAGACCTGAACTTTCTGAACATACCTGTGGAAATATGGAAGTAACACCATTTATTTGATTTCTAGCTGCTTCCTTGTTATTTATCCAAGCAAATAAGTTGCAAGAAGCCCTAACCTCTCATTGTGTGGTTACCCGAGGGGAAACAATTATACGACCCAACACAGTGGAAAAAGCTATTGATGTGAGAGATGCTACAGCCAAAGCATTGTATGGGTGGCTCTTTAGTTGGATAGTCAATCATATTAATGTCCTGCTCAAACCAACTACAGGTTTAAGGTGAGATTCCCTCCACCCCTCTATGAATTGAGATGACTGAATAGTTATTTTCTTCCATGCAGAGTCTTTCAAAAGTCCAATGTAATTATATAAAAATATTAAATATATGCATATTGTTACTATTTTTTCCCTTCTTTTTTCTTCTCTATTTTGTTTAAATAAATAAAACCCAAAACAAAAAATGGAAAATAATATAAGTTTTTCACGTGATATACAAATACTTATGTGTCATATATGCTTTGTCCAAGAGCATTGATAACAGAACAATTGTTTCTGTAGTCCCTTTGCTTTCAGAAATTAATTCTTGCAGCTGGGATATTGAGCATTTGATGAACAGCCGTTCCAGAACTTTGGACATTAGACTCCACCAGTATCTGCCTACCATAATTCCTAAGTATTTTAAACGAGAGCTTTCTGTGAAGTTGAAATGAAATAAATGAAACTAAAATGTAATACAAAGCTTTTGTATTTTCAGTGGAAGCGATAAAGGACTAAACATTGGAATTCTTGATATCTTTGGTTTTGAAAACTTCAAGAAAAATTCTTTTGAGCAGCTCTGTATCAACATTGCCAATGAACAGATTCAGTTTTACTTCAATCAGAATATCTTTGCATGGGAACAGGTAGGCATGGTTATGTGAATATGTGTGCCAGTGTACTTTTCTCCATTTGTGATGTTCTAGGAGCTGTTGAAGGACTTGGAACACAGCTCATGCTGCTGAGGAAAATTTTAATTGAGTATCCACTGGAGGTTTCCCATATCCTAAGGAAGGTTATGGTTCTCGTAAGCCAGATGAGCTTTAAAACCAAAAACAACTTTTCAGTTTCAAAATAGCAAGAGAGAGAGAGAGAGAGAGAGAGAAATGTTTGCCAAAAATTAGATTAAAAGGTAGGAGAGCAGTGCTCCTTTTTAAAAGTGTATAAGGAAGAGGAAGTCCCAGCAGTGATGTCGAGAGGAATAGTTTTCATTTACTACTGAGGAACCAGTCAGTGGCACTGAGGCTCACAATCTGCCACTCGGGCAGCAAATGAGAGAAAGGGGTCTAACAATGCCCAGCCATAACCATGCTCAGGCTATAGCATGTTCATCCAGATAGGTTGAACATGCTGTAAACTGACATACTATCAGCAATGTGTGGCTGTGAATGTGAAAAAAGTGGGATGGTCAGGCAAGAGGAGCACAGACTGTTTCTTAATAAGGAGCAATTGGGCAAATGGTATAGTGCAGTGGTGGCGAACCTATGTCACGGGTGCCAGAGGTGGCACTCAGAGCCCTCTCTGTGGGCACGCATGCAGCCCCGCCACCCGCCATGGCCCCCTCCTCACCAGCAGCCCCCCAGAGGAGAGTCGCCCAGGGCGTAGTCTGTGCAGAACAGCGCAGCCAAGGACATGGCAGCCGGGCAGCGGAGACAAGATTTCACCCTCACGCCCCATCGCGTACAGATGATGCTGCGGGGCGCAGACAGAGGACGTGGCCACCATGACACTGCTGGGCTGCCTGGGTGATCTGCTGTGGCAGGCCGTGGAGATGGTGGGTGGCCCTGTGGGCAGGAGATGTGGGGACAGGGCAGGGGCGAGGCGGTTTTTGGGCACTCGGTCTCTAAAAGGTTTGCCATCACTGGTATAGTGTAAGCAGGCAGAGAAAAAAATCGAAGAAAGAACTTGATACTTTCTGAATTCATATATTTTTATCTAGCAAAGGTAATCTTGGCTTACTTGGAGAGAGCAAAAAATAGAATTGGAAGAAGGGTGTATGTTTGTGTGTGTGTTCTGTGCACAATTGTTTGATTACTTTCCACAAGTTAAATGTCTGTCTGAAAATGCATTAAGCTTCTCATTTAGAGTATCCAGGCAACGGAATTAAGTGATAATGGGTTTGGTGCAATTGCACTTTTGTTTTGATGTGGAATAAGGCATACAGTATAATTTATGGTTCAAGAGCAAAAATAAAAATAAAAATGGACAGCATACTGAGCAATTCTTTATATAAAAGTGACTGTGTTATTAATTTGCCAGCAAGCATATTAACTATGAATCCAGTTGGGACTAGGAATTAGCAGTTTTATTTCATGAAGGAAATATCCCATATTAATTTGAAAACTGGATAATTTAATACAACAGTGTGATGTATTTGATTTTTAAGATGGCCGTAAAACAAAATGGTACAATTACTAAAAATGAATAAACTTGATGGGTCAGTAAATAGACTGGTGGAGTTTAGAAAAAGAATGAAAGAATAATATTTAGCTGATTAAAACAATGTTTGGGATATTTGCTTTGGAATGTGTTCTTCATTGGAGAGAAAGAACAAATGTTACAAAAATCCCAGATGGATGATGATGCTTTGTTCATTGTGTAGAAAAAATGTTGCAATGCATTTTTGGCCCTTAAGTTGAGTGTTTTTACCCAGTAATTTCAATGACTGGGTAATTCCTCTTAGGGCTCCATAAATTGATATGGGAGGTAAACTACTGCTGCATTGTCCCTCTTCTGAATTCAAGAAGATATCACCAATTTCTCATTGAGGTCTTGCTCCACGAGTATATATTATTGGATGCAAACTTCCTTCAAATTCCTTCTGCTGGGCCATGCCAGAGATGTGGCTTGATGTGCAGGGACCAGGATTCCTGGACCTCCTTGCTTCTCTCTCAGAAAGCACAAATGGCTTGAATCATGGACTACTATGTTTGTTTTTCCAGTAGATGTCCTTTGCTTCATTCTTTTCTCTTACATTTTTAGTAAGGTTTTGGTGAAAATGAGGTCTGAAGCCCACACTCTTGAGATCTTCTGCAGAGTGGCTGAAAAAGAATAAGTAAAAGCAAGAACATGACTGGTTGAAACTGGGCACTGAGGAAACTCATGAGGGCAGAAAAGAAGAATAGAAAATTTATGGAGAAATGCCACGTTTTGGGACAATTTGTCAATTGGATCTTTGGCATTAGACAAATTTTTTCCTGTGCCAACTATCAACAGATTGGGGTTATTTTTGATATGCTTTGAAGGCCAGCTTATAAAGTTACCATTTAAATTCGAGCAAAATTAGATTCCTTACAGCTTTATAATAATGACCATTCTAACCATAGCAGTGCTAAAGGCAAATGGTGCCTTGCGGGATGAAAATATTAATACCAGCTCTTTTAGTTATTACTGGATTTTATTATTATTTGATTCAATTCCTGGCATTTTTCATGATCCTCTATAAAAACATTTGGGGTGATATTAAGAGAATTATTATGATGAAGGTTGAACGAAGTATATAAATTAATTTATGACTGATAGTCAAGTAAATAGACATAAGGATTTACTGCTTGATTGGAAGCTTAGGTTCAGACCATATTTCTTAGATCTTTTATTAAATCCATTTGCTTTTTTCTCTTTATTCACATGCACAGGGTATCTTTACAAAATACTTCAGAAAAACACTTTTTATTATTTCTTACAGAATGAATACATGAATGAAGGCATTGATGCACGAATTATTGAGTATGAGGACAACAAACCACTATTAGATATATTCCTACAAAAGCCAATGGGATTACTGTCCCTTCTTGATGAAGAAAGTAATTTTCCTCAAGCCACTGATCAGACACTTGTTGGTAAGATGTTGGCAGCTTGTACGTAAAGATATATTGGCCTTTTTTAGGGTTGAAAAAGAAATAGGATGAATGGTGGGATTCAAATATGTGAACAACTGGTTCTCTGTGTGGATGCCACTTCCGGAAGTCCATTCTGGGCCTGGGCAACACAAAATTAGCTACCGGTTCTGTTGAACTGGTGTGAACTGGCTGAATCCCAACACTGAATAGGATTGTTTCACAGATTACTTTAAAAATATCTAATTCACACTTACTCAACACCCCAGAAGATAGACTCAAGATCCAAATGGATCCCCACAGACTTAAACATTGGGTCCATCTAACAAAAAATTCAATGTAGAAAAAAGTAAGGTTTTATACTTAGACAAGAAAAACCAAATGAACAGGTATAGATTAGGTGAAACCAGGCTCACAAGCAGTAACCGAGAGGGATGTTGGAGTCCTAATGGACAGTCACTTAAATATGAGCCAGCAGTATGCGGCAGCAGTCAAAAACCCAATGCAATCCTGACTTCCGGTTTGCCATCGTGGCCGCCGCGGAAGCTGGAAGGTGAGCTCCGTCTTCCGTGTTTGGTTTCGTTCCGCTGGGGGACCCTGGAAAGGGTCGAAAGTCACCCTGTGACTTGATCGTGGGAGGGCTGCAGCCCTTCTGCTTGATCCGAGGCAGCTCTCCAAACCAGCGGAGGAAAGACCGGCCATAGCAATATGACTCATCACTAGGCTGCAGACAGCCGAAGTCAAACTTATCACCAGGCACTTCTAAAGCAACGCGGATGAAACTGGATGAGATCCGATCTTCTCTCTAAGATCCTAAGTATTTTTCTTCCTGTAAAAGCTGCCCAAAGTATCTTCCTCCCTGTGAGGAGAGAGGGAAGGGAATTTCTATTCCACCCTCTAAGAATAGCGGTGACTGACTACCCAGGGGAGTTAAAGCACTAAAAGAATAACTTTAATCTAATTGGATTTATATGTTTCTGAAACATGGGGACCAAAAGTTCTCTTATTTTTACCGCCTTTGTTTTTATCTATAAAAAAGGAATAAAATTGGAAAAAGAACTATAAAAATTTTAGACTTAAAAAACCTTAAGCGGCATCGGTGACATCTTGTGGTGAAGCTTGGTATTACAAGTTGTTATTGCCTAAAGGAGACTTGGCTTGAAACCCAGACTACAGATAAGACTCTTTTAACTTTGATAAACACCACCTGTGAGGAGTTCAGCTGTAAAGAGAACTTCTGGGTGGCATGGCTGGCCTCTTTGAACTATGAATGTAAACCTTTATTGATTTTTAGAGCTATATGTGGGGAATTGCCTTCCTACTTTTTTATCTGAGGAATATTGGTCATTATTTGAGATGATGAAATACCTTGGATTATAAAATCTGACTTGACAAACAACTTTTACTAAAAAGACTACCTACAAACATGTGAAATAGAGGTCCCATACCCAGCTATAAAATTATTTTCATTGTCTGATTTCAAAGTCTTCAATTTAACGTACCATTAAGAGAAGATGGATGAAGACCAGAAAAAGATTCTTTCCATGTTGAAAGCAATACATGAATTGATGAAATAAGATGTTACACAAAAGAACAAGATGTCAGCTTAGATATACAAACCCAAATTCTGACTACAACTAAAGAACTAACAACACAGAAGGTAACAGAAGAAGTGGAACAATCAAATACTAAGACAGAGGACTCAATTGATCAACAAATACAGTAAATGGAATATCCAGAAAAGGGACTGACAACGCTGAAAATGGAAAAGACTTTATATATAAATCAGAAGAAATTTGAGGAGCAAGAAGAAGAACAGACTGAATGGAAGATAAACATACCAGGACAATTATGGGGATTTGGAATAATAGGGTGACAATTTAAGGAATACAAATGGGCTAGCCCTTCCAAAAAAATGGCAACTAAATGGTTTCTCTTATTCCAAACAATATATGTAATAATAGAGGGAGATCTGTTTGATGATTTAAAAGTGTTGACATGGAAGGCTAGTTGGCAAAAAAAGAAAGCCAGAATAAGGCTGAAGAAAATTGGGGTTTTGATTTATCAGAGGGGATTTCATATTACTAATTAGAGGGTCAAAGGAAGAAATTAAGATAAGGGAAATTTTGGTCATTAAATTTAAAACATTTGGAAATTAGTTGAAAATAAGGATGCTATTTGTTTAATACTTAACAGTTATACCCAAAAAGAAAAAAATATTATGAATATGTTTGATTTATTGGTTAACTTAGATAATATATATAATGGGCTTTGATTTATTAAAGAGGATACTGTATTATTAATTAGATGATGTAAGATGGGGGGAAATAGATAACTTTTAGGAAATGGAACAAGATTATGCTCAAATACAAAAGATGTGTATTTTGAATATTAGATTCTGTTATGAATTGAGATAAAGGAAACTTTGGTTACCTAAAACCTGGAAATTATAAATATCAAATGTTAAATTTGAATATTGATGGGAAACTAAAAATTGGACGGGAAAACCAATAACAGGACATTGATTGAATGTAAAGATTGAATGTAAAATTAATTAAGATATGTACAAGCTAAAATTTATTGATAAATGTAATAATGATATTTTATTTAGTTGATATAATAAGAACTGTATTAGCTTAAATATGAGATAGTAGATATTAAGGGAAAAAGAGAGGAAATATTTGAGGTTGTAGTTTGAGATTTGTACTAAAGATTTTTTGTATGTTACTGAACTATTGATTAACCCAGCCACCACATTGCTTTTTAAATACCTAAATGTAAAATCAGAAAATTAATAAAAATATTATTTAAAAAAAACAACCCAATGCAATCCTGGGTTGCATTAATAAAGGGATAGAATCAAGATCATGTGAAGTATTAGTACCACTTTATAACATTTTAGTAAGACCACACTTGGAATACTACATCCAGTTTGGTCAGCATTTTATAAAAATGATGTAGAGATTCTGGAAAGAATGCAGAAAAGGGCAACAAAGATGATTAGGGAGCTGGAGTCTAAAACATGAAGAATGGTTGCAGGAATTGGGTTTGTCTAGCCTAGTGGAAAGAAGGAGTAGGGGTGATATGATAGCAGTGTTCCTATATTTGAGGAGCTGCCAAAAAAAAGGAGGGGTTCAATCTATTTTCCAAAGCACTAGAAAGCAAGACAAGAAACAACGAATGGAAATTAATTAAGGAGAAAAGCAGCCTAGAACTGCTATTAGAAATTTCCTAATAGTGTGAACAATTAACCATGGAATAGCTTATCTTCAGAAGTTGTCAGTGCTCCTTTAAAAAAAGACTGGACATCCACTTGTCTGGAATGGTATAAGTCTCCTTGAGAGAGAATTGGACTAGAAGACCTACCTCCAAGGTCCCTTCCAACTCTGTTATTCTGACTTCTGACACTTCAGAATCTGCATCTTAACAATGCCAAAGTCATATCCAAAATGCCTACAAAAATGTGTGATTGGAAAACAAACACATAGCCAAATGTGCATGCTGGGGAAATTGTTAACAAAAAGTCATAATTGCTTAAAGAAATACATAAATTAGCAAAAAGTTGAGAATGTGATACATTTTAGTAGAAATCTCTATGAAATTATACATATAAACTTAATACAGACTTCTTTTAAAAAGGCAGACAAAATAAATTCATGGTTGAAAAAATATCAAACTGAGCAAAGCTGAAGTTGATAGATTTACCCATTTTTATACAGATTTCTCACTGAAGTGTTTTCGCTTATGCCTTCAGGGTGAAAATATTCACACTGATAATAGGATCTGTGTAGCTAATATTTTTTGCTTCTAGAAGCTATTCAGCAGAAATATCAGGCAGAACCATAAAGTCTTCCTCTATTTAACCCAGAGCAGAAGGAAGTTCAGAGCATCATTTCCAAAGTAATTTTCCTTCATACCACCAAAATATTTTTTAAAATTTCTAAATGCTTATTTACATGAGTGATAAAAAAGCTAAGGTAATATTGGTGATGTTACAAGAGCAGTATTTATCTTTACAGAAAAATTTGAAGACAATTTGAAATCCAAATATTTCTGGAGACCAAAGAGAATTGATTTGACATTTGGCATCTACCATTATGCAGGGCAGGTAAGAAGACTAACTAATTCTTCTCTATTAATGTGATTATTTTATAACAGGATGGGCCAACATTTCAATATATTACAAAAGTCTAAGCTTGTTAAATGTTGAATGACTACAGATATTTACTTTGCAACACATTTATACCTTCTCTCTCTCTCTCTCTCTCTCTCTCTCTCTCTCTCTCTCTCTCTCTCTCTGTGTGTGTGTGTGTGTGTGTGTGTGTGTGTGTAAGAGAGAAAGAGCAGGGAAGGGAGGGATGGAGGGAGAGAGAAGGAAGGAAAGGAAGGAAGGAAGGAAGGAAGGAAGGAAGGAAGGAAAAGCTTCCTCCAGGATTATAGAACACTCATGATACACTCTTTCTTCTTTAAAGCATTTATAAGCAATGCAGTCACTAAAAAGAAATAATAGATTATGAAGTTGGAAACTCTTTTAACAGCATATGACTGGAGCCTGAGATCCATTTCATAAGAAACTGATACTATGGCTGTCTTTATGTGCTCAAGACTTCATGGTATATTCAAGTTAATGGGTCACTTAGGCCTTAGAACTCCTTATGAATAGTGACTCTGCTCACATTCATCAACCTGAACAGCCCATGTTAAAGCTAAACAGTCTGCTTGATCTAGTATTCTCCAGATGATTTGGTTTTCAACTGAAATCCAGTATAATTTGAGGACTGCTTGGGGAAAGTTGCATTGGAACGTGTAGATCAACAATACTGACCTATTTGCTTGTAACTGCATTAGAATGAATGTCCTTTTGTACATCTTCTTCTTCAAACAAAGGCTCCAGTTTTAATTCCAGTATTTAAAGCTCCTTTTATGCTGTGTATTAATTAATTATTTTAATCCTATGGCCACCACCAGATTTGATGGAACATTGGCAGTTTGTTAAGGGAAGCAAGATTTTGCTCTCTGGTCATGTTAACTACTATTAACACTGGTTGCTTTTCACCTCCCAGTGGCCCCAAGTTCACTGTCCATGAGGAAGAACCAAAATGTAAATCTTCCTTGTGAATAGAAACTCAAGGCACACCTATCTCCAAGTCTTGAGGAAGAACCTTAAGCACATATTTGTTGCCATTGGTACTATATATATAGGGCTTTTTGCCATATGCACATACTCTTCTGCTGGGGATGCTGGCCTCACACATTTACAGTATCCTAGTATATTATATGTATCTTGTTGAATAGTAGGCCTGTAATGGCCTACTCAGGTGAATAGCAGACCTATAATAATCTTCCCTCCATGTCCTTCCAAAGTGAATTAATCTATTTATATGGTAGCTGAATATCACCTACCTTGTTTTTTTTCTTATATTTTATTTCCTAATTCAAGAACAGTTGAAGAAAAAAAATAACAGTTGAATAACTGTTCCTGACCTTTTATATTTTCATTCAGGTTCTTTATAATGTAAGTGGGTTCTTAGCCAAAAACAGAGATACCTTGCCAGCTGATATTGTATTACTCCTGCGATCCTCTCAGAATCACTTGATTCGACAGATAGTAACCTACCCTCTTACCAAAACAGGTAATAAATCCTACCTTGCATTTGCCAGGTCCAGTATTCTTTGTTATCTGTCCATTTTGTGGCTCTCTCATGGAATTACATAGAAAGAGCTATCAACCATGACAACCACCAACCATATAGGAATATCAGTGAAGACCATGTAATTGGTACCTTATGCAGGACCATATTCCCTAGTTGTGATTTTTCCAATGTCCTGCCCTTAGGAACGTCTGAGTCAAACTGATGCACTACCCTTTTATAGCTGTCATTACATGCTTGCAACTTTCAGAGGATAAAAAAAGTCAGAAGAGGCCTTATTCTGTATTGGCCATTGTTGTATTTGATTCAGTATTGTCTACACTCTACAGCATCCTAGACTGATCCAATGTCCTGCAGATGTATTGGGCTAGCACTTCATCATTATTTAACTTATTTGAAGGCCATCAGGTTGAGAAAGGGTAGTTCTGTTTCTAATTTTCCAGTATTTCAGGCCTATCTTTCAGGATGGGGTTGGAGGCGCCTCATAAAAAAAAGTCCTATTTAGAATTGCTAGGATTGAACCTGAGGCTATTTACTCACAAGCCAGATTCTTCTTTGAAAGACATTCTACTATTGCACAATCAGTAATGAATGCTGGTGTTGGATTATAACAAGCAAAAATGTATAGGTAGTCCTTGGTTAACAACCATTTGTTCAGCAACTGTTTCAAGTTACGACAGCACTGAATGAATGATAGCTACAACCAATCCTCAAAATTAATAAATGTTGCAATGGTCATGTGATCAACATTCAGGCATTTGGTAGTCTGTCCACATTTACAAATATAGTGTGTACTTCATGTCCCCTTACCCATTTATATCCTTCTCTCCTCTGCATGGAGGCTTCAGGGAGGCCACATGAGGTCCTCACAAAGGGCCAGCAATGCCTTGGCAAACTTCAGCAGCAAGAGGAGGAAGATAGCGAAGGTCAGCTGGGGTAAAAATGGTAGGCAGTGGAATGCAAGGGAGCCAAAGGGCAGAGATGGGGGGGAAGTAGGTGAGGGTGGAGTTGAAGTAGAGATGAGCGTGGCAGAGCAAGAGAAGCATGAAATTGTGATGAAACAACAATACAGTTCTAGCCTAATTATTGCATTCAGGATTACCAGAACTCTAGTTACTAAGTGATTCACATAATTCAGCCAACAAACCTTTTGCTTAATGATGGAAATTCCAGTCCCAATTAAAGTTGTTAAACGAGGATTATCTGTATTGGGTGAATATAGTATAGTAATTATCTCTCATTCTTGTCTACCTCATATGATACAGTTATGGGAGTAAATTTGAAGGCTGTTTGACTTCACAATATACTTTACTTTGAACTCTTGCAGGGAAGGTGGGATATAAATCTAATGAATAAAATTACCTAAGGGAAATAAATAATATATTTTGCCATTAGTCTGCAGGGACTAAGCATGCTTTCTTGAACATAACCAGTCAGGGTTGCCATTTCTTTGATTGGTCCTGCTCCTCTGATTTTAATTGCAATATCACTATGCTGCTCTAGGCAGATGAATCATTTTCCATGATAGAGATTAAATGAAGTCAAGAGATTTATTTGTGCGTAATATACAGAAAAATAAAATAAGATGACAAGTCAGTTTCCAGGTTCTTACGTAGCCATGTATTGTGGCAGAAATTGGCTGTAATGCTGAGAAATGGGCTTGAAATCTAAGACAGAGAAAAATGCTTGTTAATTTCCTCTCCTGGATGTTTTCAGATGCATCTGGGGCAGCCCAATCTTTTGTGATGTGGATGAGCATTTAGCCTTATTCAGCAAAGCTGTTCTTATGTTTATAAAATACAAAGATGAGTCTTGTGTTGGACATTTTTAGTTAGGTCTCTGCAAGGTCAAATCCCAGATATATTCCCTGATCCCAAGATATCTATTTCCATTAGGAAACATGACTGTTACATCATACTATATAAAAATAAGCCAACAGGGTTTAGTATTTGTTGCTTTTCATGCAATTATGAAAACAGACTGAAAAATGCAAATTGTTAATTATTTCAGTAACCAGCATAGCTTTCATTTTCCATGGAAGTACTGTATGTGTTTTTTCTAACTATAGGGAATCCCTGGATTATAGAAGCCTTGCTCTACATAAATCTGACTTTATGGAAAGGGTACAAGGACAACACACTTGGAGTTAAATAATTTAAAGATTTTTAAATAATAGTAGTAATAATTTACTTAAATTTATAGGCCAACTCCCAGGAACTCTGAGCAGTTTAAAAACTGTTAAAAACATTTAGAACAAGAAAACAACATAAGACAAAAAAAGAACAAAAATGGCAGGGATAACAAAACCAGATGGGAACAAAGAAACGGAAGAAAGGGTAGATCTTTGTTCATACTCACCAAAGGCCTGGGTGAAGAGCCAGGTCTTCAATGCTTTTCAAAATACTAGTAAAATATGGGGAGGAGGGGGGCATTCAAATCTCATTCAAGAGGGCAGGTGCTTTAAAGGCTCTGATAGCTGGCATAGTTTAACTCAGGGGTGTCAAACTGCCGGCCTGTGGGCTGGTTTCATCATACCGGAGCCATGCCCACCCCATTGCCGGCAATGGCAAAAAAGCTCCGATATGTTGCGTGACGTCACGTGACGTCGCGAGTTTGACATGTCTGGTTTAACTGAAGGATGCTGGAGTGGGCCAATAATGCCAAATCAGCTGGGTAGATGCTATGGGGGATAGGAGGTCTCTCATGTAACCAAACTGTTAGGGCCCTATGTCATGAAGGGTTTTATAGGTAGTACCAGCACATCAAATCACACCTGGAAGCAAACTGGCAACCAGTGCAACTCACAAAGCATACCAAGATATGTCAATAACCGGCCATGCCACTGCATTCTATACTAATTAAAGTTTTCAGGTGGCCTTCAAGGACAACATAATCAAGTTGTGAGATGTCCAGGGTGTAGGTGACTGTCTGAGGGGCCCACCAACCTAGGAAAGGAGAACAATTGGTGTACTAGAAAAAGTTTTGCAAGTGCCATCACTTTCAGCTGCAGAACTAGCATTTTCAAATAGGGAAATTAAATGGGTGTGGTTGTTTTATTTGCTTTTTACTTTATAGTATTTTTAAAAGATAACCAATATACTTTTCATTTGCTTCTTCAGTTTCTTGCCCCAAATTATAAGTCTTCTTTAAGGGCATATTTGGCAATACAACCTTTGGTGATCATAACATTTGCTCCCTATTATCCAACTGTAATCTCAGAGGTCTTGTTCTCTGAGAAACTGGAAGAAGAAACAGAAATTGAACTGGTTCTTGAGGGTCAAGCACCAATGTTAGAAACAGTACTGAGCACTACCTTTTGTGTGTCTTTTTTAAGGGTTGCAGTTATATACATTTCTTGCCTGGTGGAATGTGTCCTTAGCTCCTTAAGAGAATGAGCTTCTTCTGTCTCGCAGCTCAGAAAGATGACAGCAGTTCTGTGAAATACTTTTCTTATTTTCCCCATGGATTGCTTCCATGCATTGTTTCCTGAACCATTCATGAAGTCTAAGACTGGTTTATCACTTATTGCATGTCACACTAGGCCATTTGAAAATTGTATAATCAGGGTAAGCCATCTTAACCACCTGTGTAAGGCTTTGGAAGTGCAGTTCCACAGAAAAAAATTGAGGAGGATCTTCAGAAATTTGATTTATACAATAATATTAAAAGAACAAATGCAAAGGACATGTTCCATCTTCTCATAATCTGCCAAGGATTTGTTTTTTTTCTTAAGTAAAAGAGAAATAAGGAATTTCTGGACAACTTGTGTATTATGAAGGCCAACTTATATCTTCCATTGCTCGCAAGATTTTATTTTTATTTGTGAGAAATGTTTAGTTACCTTTCCAGCTGCAGCATTTTTGGAAGTCAGCACCCTGAAAGTAAAGTAATATAAAGCCTATAATAAAATGCAAACAAACACCAGAATGACAAAAGATGGACTAGAAAACAGTAAAGACAAATCATTGTGTCTTTTTGTCATCTAAAAAGGGCCCCAAAAGTATGAGGAACAAAAAAACTGGAAATCATTCTTACTGCTATCTTTGTTTTCTAAAAGATTTTTTGAAAGATAACAGGTAATTGTTACCATCTTTTAGAAGGCTATTCCATGAACCTAAAAAAATTATGAAGGGGGCAAATACTGAAATAAGGTATTTTCATGAAGAACTTTTTGTGTAAATTCAATAGCCAATTATGTTTGCTCCCTGTCTAATCCAGGGAACAATTTACAAATTTCCCATGCCTTCTCTCTCTCTCTCAGGTAATTTGGCACAGAGGAAGTATGCAATAATTTATCAGAAGTGGAGACCACAGAATCGCCAAATAAAAGTAAAGGAGTTCCTGGATTGTTAACTAAATCAGATTTAATCCTTAAAGGGGGGATATGATTTGGTTTTTCCTCAACTCATGTAATTTCATTTTTTGTTCAGCAGGATATCTTTGAATTGTACAATTCATTTTCCTTCTGTGTCAGAAAACCAACATCTCCCTTTCTGCTATCATTTTATGAGTTAAGGGAAAATTAAATTAATTCACAATTGTTATTTCCTTTAACACTCATCCATAGGTATCTTTACTGGTCAGTGTGTGCCATTAAATTTAGAGAATTTAACTTGCTAGCAAATGTATTGAAAAAAGGAAAGTACAAAGATTCTAATTGTAGAATTGCACCCAACTCTTGTGAAAGAGGTCCACTACTATTACTGTTGTAATTAATATGATCATTAGATGTCTGAGTTTTTAGTAAATAAGAGAATATTAGGCATGCTATTTTTCTTCATATTTCTGACAAACACTTGTATCAAACGGTTCAGCTTTCCCAGATATGATAAATTATTCTGCCGTGTTTCCCCGAAAGTAAGATCTATCCCGAAAATAAGCCGTAGCTTGATTTTTAGGGGTTGGCCTCATATACCGGTAAGCCCTACCCCAAAAATAAGCCCTAATTTTGGGGCGAGGCGCACACCTAAAAATCAAGCGAGGGCGCGAGTGGGGGTGTGCAGCTGCCCCACGCACCCTGCACCCATTTACCTTGCAACCAGACCTCTCTTCACCAGCCCACTTCTGTGGTGTCCCCAGGCCTGCATTGTGAAGTCAGGCCTTTCCGGAAGGCCACTGCAGCTGAGAACCAAGCTATGGATTGAATCCATAGCTCAGTTCTGTAGGACTCTACAGGCAAGAATCCATAGCTCAGTTCTCGGCTGCAGAGGCCTTCTGGAAAGGCCTTTGATGCGAAAGGCAGGCTGGAGCTCCATTCTCAGCTGCAGAATGAAGCTGCTCCTTCAGCTGCAGAAGATGTGAGCCGGTTGGATGGGACTGTTGGTGCCGGAAGTTAGTGGAAAAGACACCCCCTCCCCCCCAAAAAACCAAGACTTGGTGCTTCTTTTGGAGGCAAAAAATAAATAAGACCCAGTCTTATTTTCAGGGAAGCATGGTATGTTTCTGAAATAATGGCAGCTACAGCTTAGAATGAGTACATGCTGTTTTTAACTGAGTTCTTTAAAATATCGTTTTGTTGGGCAGGTTCGATCACTTTTGGCTGTTGTTCTGATAAGCAGTGTCATTTTTCTTTCCTGATCATACAGAATGAGCAAGAAGATTCCATGCATCCAAGAGAAACAAGCAATATGAAAACGCAGACAGTTGCTTCTTATTTCCGAGTAAGACATTACTTATTTTATATTTTTAATACATGTTATTCACACAACTATCAACCCTACTTTCTCTAATTATATGATTAAAGTCACTTCACCCCCTAGGCAGGCTTGACTCTTGATAACTTGATGGATAAGCCCATTAGTTTTCTCCACATCAGTGTGGAGATTCTTTGCTATTTCCACTTTCTGCCTTCAGCCTTAGGGTATTCTGGTACTAGTCTCCTCTTTCAATATCAGCTAAATCTCACTAACCTTGCCTCCCTAATTTTCTGGCTGTTAACCTGAATTTGTGGAGATTCTGTCCATCTAATATTATTGTCATGCATGCACAAACAATTCAGATTATTGACAGTGGAAGAGTGAATAGTCTATGATCAAACTGTGGCACAAACACAGATCTAGGGGGCCTGCTGAAGACCATGGTGTAATTTAATAAAAATTTACTGTTCCAGTCTGCTACTTGAAACAATTTCTAAATTTTTCCTAGTGGTATAGCTGAACCTATTAAATACTTAGTCAAATCAAGGCAGTTTTATGAAGAGAAGACTTGAGTGAGATGGGTGTAGCAATTGGTGCTACTTTTAATTTTGTATTACTGAAAGAATAACATTTGTTATATATGCAATCTCACCACTTTTAAAAGAGATGTTATCGTAAGTTGTGTGTGTCTTTTGGAATTCACAAATTGCAGCATTTACCTGTCAGTGACTAATATCTGCTAGTAGATCCATGCGTCCTTCCCCACTTGATTTATTTTATTTTCAGATTCTTTTTATTGTCATGCTCCAAAATAACCAGCAAAGCTTTTATTCAAATAATATATCTGAGTCCCACCAAAGCCTATAGGCATTCTTGAGAAATGAGCATAGAATCTACTTTGACTGAACTCAAAAAGCTAAATTGGATTGGACCTGGGTAAGAGTTGGATTGGGGATTACTAGAAAATCCCAAGGCTATAAAATACTGTAGATTTGGAAATCAAACAAATACCCCCCCAAAATAACTTCCAAGCAACTTCCATATTATTTCAAAGAAAAATATAGGGTTCTTTAATCATAAGAAGTCAAGTTCAATTCAAAAGAGTCTTTTTCTTCATAGGCTTAAGTCAGAAAAGAAGTACACTAAAATTTTGTTGTGTTCCATATTATCTTCATATTCATGATATTGCTTATATGTGTCCCTCTGTGGTTGGATTTGATTATTATGTCAATTATAGCATTTGGTTTGTGATGTGGACTGAAATTGTAATTATCCATTCAAGGAGCATATTAATATGCTTTTTAAATTTACATTTGAATAATGCACTTACAAGAGTATTACATTGTTGTTACCATTTTCTTTTGAGGCACCCTGGTGCTTGCACAATTAGCTTCTCTGTTTTGAATAAGAATTTGCATTGAGCCAGTGTAGAACACCTGTCTGAGTACCATTTTATGCCACAACCACTATTAATTGCCAAGAGGCAATTACATCTCCCTCTGTTCATTAGGAATACATAATAGGAAGAGAGTGTGCTAAAGCCCCTACAGGCAATGTATTAGCTTAAGACATCAGCCTCAACCAATTTGCTTAGCATCAGAGGTCACCATGATCTGCATGGCTGTAAGGATAAGAGTATGCAATCAAGAAGCTAAGATAAACAATTTTATGATCTACATACAGTCTTAAACACCAGAAAGGTCTCAACAATGAATACATTGTACTGAATAGGCAAGAGCTCATAGACAGCCAAACTGAAAATTCCTTTCTCATGTGTGTTTTGTCTATTCTGCACATTTAGTCTCTAGGTTTCCCTATAAGTAAACTTTGCCTAAAGAGCCTAGGATAATAAATAGTAGTTTAATCCAGTAATGAAAGTTTACATTTGACATAAACAAATCATATCTTGTCAATAGTGAGGCCATAGATATGGCAGAAATTTAAATACTTCATTTAGCATTATCTTCTAATATGATATCTTTGGCACATAGTTATTTATATTCAAAGAAAGGTGAGTCATTCATCTCATTCTCAGATAATTGTTTTAATTTCATGTGTAGGCTCTACACTTTGATGTAGGGCTAATTTTATTTTTGAAATAGTGCTTCATCCATTATAATAGGATGAATTCACTTAATGTTTGGCCAGCTTTGTTCTCCTCCTGTTTTGTGGCAGCTGACTGATCAAGCTAAGAGCAGGGAGAAGCAGTCTAGAGCTCATGGACTAGACTGTGTCTACAAGAACTATTCTGATGCACACCAGACTCCATATTCCATCTGATATTAAAATATTTTAATTTTTAAGTGAAGTAGTAGATTAGTGTATTCTAAAGCAAAGCACTCTACCATTATTTTTACAGATAGTGCTCGAGTTATGACCACAGTGGAGCCCAAAATTTATGTTGCTAAGTGAAACATTTGATAAGTGAGCTTGCCCCATATTAAGACTTTTCTTGCCATAGTTGTTAAGTAAATTGTTACATTTGTTAGCTTAGTAACATGGTTCTTAAATGAATCTGGATTCCCCATTGATTTTGTTTGTCAAAAGGTCATGAAAGGGGATCACCTGACCCCAGGACATGGAAACCATCATAAATATGAACCACTTGTCAAGCATCTGAATTTTGATGATGTGACTATGGGGAATGCTTCACAAAGTGTGAAAAATGGTCATAATTCACTTTTATCAATGCATTGTAACTTTGAACGGTCACTAAATGAACTGTTGTAAGTCAAGATCTAATTGTATTCACACGTATTTCTCTCAACTTCATTATGAAATAAGGAAGCTTATTTCAGAACTACTAATGTGTTGCCACCTTGACTCTTCTCCTTATAAGGTTCCTAGGCATCCTTTACAAAAGGGTATCTCGCAGAGAATGAGATGGTAGAAATCTTCCAGAAGAATCATCCAAGTCTAAAGGTTACGAAGGAAATCAATCATACAGTAGTTATTTGCTTTGTGGTCAACTGGTGTTTTATAACTGGCGGTTGACAGTAGTTCTAAATATGCTCACTGGCCCCAAACATTTACTTCTTCCTGACATTATCTTCACTCAGTTTTATATTGTTTAAAGTATTTGTGAGAACAGAGATTTATTTATAGCTGCTCTTTCAGTTATTGCAGCTAATTCATTCTTGCTTATGACCGTCTGTAGTTATTCTTTAAGCCAGACACAATTCAAATATTGCCGAAAGAAGCTTTATCAGTTTTGCAAATAGTCTGTAAAAGAATCCCAAATGTTTATTTCCATCATTTCCATTCAGAACTCATTGATGGATTTGTTGTACAAATTGGCAGTTGGCCAGCCTCATTTTGTTCGTTGTATTAAACCAAACAACCATCGACAGGCAAACAAGTATGAAAAAGAAAAAGTATCAATTCAGTTGCGATACACTGGAATTTTGGAAACAGCTCGGATTCGGCAACAGGGTTATTCTCATCGTATTCTTTTTGCAAACTTCATAAAGCGGTAAGTCCTTTGTAAAACAAGATCCTCTATTATTCTTTCCTTCTGTGTTTTATGGGTTTTTTTCTATCTGCTTGTGTTGCTGCCAAGAGAATGCTAGAAATGCCTTAAAGGTAAGAGAGGGGCATACAAAATAAATGAATGAATATATATATATATATATATATACATACATACATACATACATACATACATACGTACGTACGTACATACGTACGTACTATCACCAGCCATTGCTTTCTGCCTCTTTAAGAAGAATCTGCTATTTTTACTGGGAAAGGTAAGACAAAGAGGGAACAAGAAGTACATAAAACTAAACTTGAAATGTTACAATTGCATTTTTATTTGTATAAATAAATCCTCAGAATAATTTATTTGTTTATCAGATTTACAACCTGCCACAATTATCAAAAAAGACCCTAGCTGGCTCAAAATAATAAACCAAACTTTTTTTTTAGAGTTCTCTTACAGATGCAGGGTCTGTTTTTTTTCAGTTCAACCAAAGGTTGATCCATTGGTTGCAACAGGAATTGTCACCAGAGGCAGCTTGTCACCTGAGCTTGACATCATGGGCTGAGAGAAGGTGACTGGCCCAACATCACCCAGCCAGCTTTCATGTCTAACCCAGGTTTCTAATCTGATGCCTTATCCACTTGACCAAAGTAGTTCTCACATCAAACATAATAATGCAGACCAAAAATGCCTTAGAAATACAATTTAAAAATCTCAAAAGAATATCTGGCATCATACCCTCCCAAACCCTCTGGAAAAGTTTTATTTTCACCCTCTTCCTAAAGGCAGATAATGTTGGAGACATAGCAGTCTCCAACTAGAGGCCATTCCTGAGGACAGTTTCTTTTATAGAAGAAAATGCTAGTTGACGTTGGCGCCCAAATTCCCAGGAGGACAACCAGCTGCTTCTCCCAGCATGATCAAAATAGTTGGGCCCTTCTAGTGGGGAGTTTAATAAGAGTGTGGTAATCGATGGCAATTTAGTTAGGTGAAGGATGGAGAAATGGATAGACAGACAAACAAAAAGTGTGTAATATTTAATCCTTTAAAGATTTCCTTAAATTGTACAAACTAACAAAAGTTTTTTCAAAAGTCAGTGGGCTCTTCATGCTATACCTATCAAAGCTGACAAAAGACTTAACATAGGCAAAAAAAAAATAGAGTGACCTTCTTGAGAAGGTAGCAGGAACATCATGCATTTTCCTCTCTGAAAAATGAGCTAGACAGGTGGAAAATGTGTTACTTTTGTACAGTACTGAGGTAGCTGAATAGGTGGATAAATTGAAACATATTCACTGATGCTTTGTGGCTATTTCTGTTACTTGAGTGCACCTCAGTATTTGAATAGCCTTTTAGCTTGGTATCTAAGTATGATGCGGTCAAACTTGTAAAGGTTGTCTACTGCTTATCTAATAAGCACTAAATCCATTGCAAATCTACTGCTTATCTAATAGGCACTAAATCTCCTGCAAATGCATTGTTAAATAGTCATTTTTCCTCTCACTCTTTTTCTTTCTTTCCCTCCTGGACTCTCTCTTTCTCTTGTAGATACTATTTCCTTTGTTACAATTCCAGCAACGAACTTCCTATAAATTCTGCTACTTGTACTGCCATCTTGGAAAAAGCCAAGTTGAATAACTGGATGGTTGGGAAAACAAAGGTATTAGCTCTGCCACTATTTTCTGCGGTGTTCCTGCTGAAACAAGTAGACTAATCAAGAATATAGTGTTATGGAGGCTCACTCACATGCCATCAATAGCTACATTCATCAGTTTTTTTAAATTATCCTCCCTTTTTATCACTTATTTAATGTAATTTGATGAAAAGTGAATTCGTTAGCTTGAAGTTAGCCCAATAGTTATTATTAACCAATATATTTGTGACTTTGGATTCGGGCTATTTTGTACACAATTTCATAGATACTTAAACTCCATTGCAAAGATTGTTTCTGCGTGCTGTACATTACAATAATCTAAGAACTAAAATCATTTTGTCTAGCATTCAACGCCAGATTCAGAATTACCTCTATTTGAGGTAATTTTGACATTTTGACATTTGAGGCATTTTGACATTTTACCCACCATAAAATTGGAACTTCTGTTCTCTGGTCATTGTTCATATCTATCATCCCTGACTTGCAACATTGCTGGAGGGTTGTTGTTGTTTTTTAAGGCAGATATTTGGTGGATTTCTCCTAGCTAAAAAGCAATCATCATTGGTAATGTTATCTATGGAATTAAGTGGGTCTTCTTTTTTATAATATATAGTGATCATCCTCTTTTTTAACAACAGGTTTTTCTGAAGTACTACCATGTAGAACAACTAAACATAAAGCGAAAGGAGACAATTCATAGGATTGTTTTGATTCAAATCTATGTGAGAAAATGGCTTCATTCAAACAGATTTAAAAAGTTGAAGGAGAAAAGGGAAGCAAGTGCAACTAAAATACAATCAGGTAATAAAAATATTTTTAACATCGCATATACATGTATTTACACAGAATAAGATTCTCAGGTGTTAAAACAAAAGAAACATCCATTTCTACTATTGTTTTAATTCTCACTATATATGATTCGTTCTCTTGTTCTACTTTGTACTTATAGCTTAACTTTTATCTGGAAACTCAAGTCTGCATACCTGAATATTTCCCTTCTTGATGGGCATCACATGCATGCATCACAAAGTAAACTGTCATTTTTTATTTGTATTATGATATCACATACAAGTATGGAAGGGACAGAGCTTATATTGGGATGTCATAATGCAATTTTTTTATTTTGATATTTTGACTTCTGCAGTTGCCCTTCTTTTTCTCTATAGAATCTTGAATTGGTGACTTGGAGAATATCTGATAAAAGTCAACCTGTAACCAAAGTAGGAGATTGCCAGAAAGTTGGCAGATCCTGCCAATGAGATTGATTTATATCTCTAGACAAGAGAATATGACAAGATACTCTCAACCGCTTAGAAATTTTCAAGGCACCAAAATAGTATACTGTACCAAGTATGCCAGTAATGTAATCCCATGTTTCCTGCCTTTTTTTTCTTTGTTCTCCTCTGCCTTTTCTCATCTTAGTATCAGAATCCATTTCCAGCTTAACCATTTCCTCTTTAAAAAGTTCCTTTCTTGCATTGGTGGCTTTTCATTACAGCTGAAAGTCTTGCCTATTAATCTACTTTATTTCCCAGCAGAAAATTTTCTAATGTTGTAAGCATTATCTTTACTAGAGAAGTTTTCTGACAGTGTTGTCAAATAAATTAATAAATACGGTAAAACCTGAAGGGTCTAAGGTGAGAAAGATTAATTAAGCTAGTTGTTGACTAAGCAACTATAAGGCTTTAGCTTAAAAGATAGAGCATCTTGTCTGAGATTTATGTTTTTCATACCACAGCAAATGACAGTTTGATCCTTAAATCCATTTCCATAATTTGATCTCTTTTAAAGTCTGAATTTTCCATTTTGAGAAGAAAGCTGCATTCTTGTTTCCCAAATGATTATGTTGAATCAACTTGTGTTTTCTTGTCATGAGTGGGCAACCTATGATTCCAGATGTACTTAAGGTCCCTAAGTCCTATTTTTTTTTCTTGTTTTCCTTGTTTGCTTTCTTGCCAGTTTTCTTGTTTTCTACCTTTGGATATGTCGCAGTTTTATAAATCAAAAGTAGAGCCGCATCTTGAAGTGCAGTTTCAAAAAAAAAACAAACGTTATACTGTCGGCATCTATATAGGCCCACCTATTTTATTTCATGGTCCAATCCCTATAATCCTCATTGTTCTCTTTCAAACCATGAGGTAGGCCACAAAGACAACAAAGTTTGTCCCAAAGAATAATCTTTCATCCATTCCCTTCCTCCTTGCAGATGTGAATAAGTAGGTAACCCTGTAGGAAGATATAACTGCTTACTTTATAGGTTTTCGTCTTCTGTCTTCAGTTTACAGGGGATATGTCACTCGCAAAGCATTTGCAGAGGCAAAGAATGTGTATGGAACAGCTATGTGGGTTATCAAGCTCCAGGCAGGTAAGACTTTCCATTTATAGCATCAAGGTTTGTACAGTCAGAATGCAGAGCTATCAAACAGAATTAGAAGGAAAGACTGTTTTTTTCTATTTCTGCTTAATGTGTTTCTGCCTGAGCTAGTGACTACAAGTGGTAGCTGAGAATCAAGATGCAGGAGTGAAGCCAGATATCCGTGCTAGAAATCAGAATCTAGAATTTGAACTAATTTTTCTAAGCTGCAATTCAAATAGGAGCTTTTCATAGACTTTTCTGCTGAAGCAATAGGCAACCTATATGAGCAGAATTATTGCAGTAAACAATAGAATATTGAATCGAAAGTTGCAGTTCCCTCTTGTTTAGGAGTGTAGTAGTATCACTCCCCATTCACTCTTATCTGGGGAGGAGGCGAAGGTTGGGGGAGGAAAAAAACTTTCCAGATAGGGGAAGTTGGCAAAGAGAATTAAATCCCATGAGGATTGAGTAACCTAGTGACTTCAAAGAGGAAAGAATTGTGGAAACCTTTTAGGGAAAGTACAGTAGTGGCCAGAATTGTGGAAACCTTTTTGGGAAAGTGTATTTTTGAGGTTTGATGGCTAATAACACCACTTTTTTTGGAGTAGTACCATAAAATTATATATCAATGGAAAGATAATTTAATCAAGAATGTAATGCAACAAAGTTTGTTCAATTATCTGTACTGTATTCCAGTACTTTTTTTGTAAAAAAAAAAAAAAGCCAGAACTCACACATGTCATACATCCCACCTTGCCTATCCTATAAGGTTCCATCCAAAAAAGGTGCCGGAACTCCGTTCTGGGCGTTCTATGACAAAAAAAGCCCTGCTGTATTCTATGAAAAGTTATAGCCAATTAACCAGAAAAAGAAAGCACAACTAGCTTAGGTTGATATCAGGTAGCTTTCCTTCATCTGATTGTAGCCAATAACCATGAGTGTTTAGAGAGCCAATCAGGTGTCATCTTGTTTGCCAATGAGCCAATCAGATCACAGTAGGATTCATGTATTGAAGGTGAGAGGAGGACATTTGTCAGTGTGTTATGTGATCGCTATCAAGTTGGTTGGGGTTTTTTTGTGTGTTCTTTCATTTAGTGAACTTGTAAAATGTAATAAAATTAAAGTAGTGGTGCAAAGAGTTGATTGGATGCCCAGAAAGCAATGTAAAATAGTATTATTAAGTGAACAAGGCTACAGTTATAAAGAAATTAGAAGAAAAATTGGTGGAAATTTAACCAAAGATGGCATTTCTACTGTATACTTTTCCCAAAAGGTTTCCACAATTTTGGCCACTACTGTATACCATATAATATATTGATTATATAATCCAGTGTTCCCCCAGGCTGGCATTCTCCAGCAGCTGAGAAGAACAATAATTGTCATCTATAGCTATAGACCCAGCAGGCTAAAATTGGGAGAAGGAGAGTTGATGAGGACAGTCATCCAATCCAATCTGAAAATGCCAGATTAAGGAAGAATTAGTTTAAATATGCTGATTTACAAAAATAATTTAAGGGTTTATTCTTACTGTGATTTATATTAGTTACAAGAAGATTCTTGATCCAAAAGGGGGCTAAAGAAATAAATGATGCTGCAGTAATAATTCAGTCTTACTTCAGAGGATACAGGGAGAGAACAAGTCTCAAAAGAAGAAGGTAGTATTTTATTTTACTTAAGATTATTCTGTTATATGCCAACTCTTCTGCAATAAAACATAATCTTCTGTTTCATTTCAAACAGCACCATTCCATGCAATCTTTCTACAAGAGAGATTTCAACAATATTAAGTTTTGTTTTCAAAAGATAATATAGAAAAATGTGCATGTGCTAAAACTATGGTATGAAAAAAAAATCTCAACCTCTTAACATTTTATTCATTAAATCAGATGTAAAATTTCTTTTGGATTCCGGAGTCCATTTGGAATGGAAGCAAATACATTTTTAAATCACTCTTGGGTAAAATAGAGATGCTGGGAATTCAGGATACTTAAAAAATACAAGAAAGAAAATTATACTGAATAGTCTTTTTACCTGGTACTCAAAATCTGGAGTGCAGGTTACTAAAACAGAGGCATTAGTGGCAGAATGCCTTTCAGTATCAAATATTACTGCACTGAATTGGATCAATGGAGCTCTTCTAATTTAAGAATTATTCTCCTCTTTCCGGCAAAACATATATTGGTGGTCTAGAATCACAAATTGCAACTCAATGAAGCCTTTGCGCACTTAGGATGAAGAGCTAATACTGGAGTGGGCTCAAATGGCTCCTCCAAGTTCATTTCTCCTTTCTCAGCAGTAGATATGGAAGGCCATTTCACAGGATAGGAGTTTGTTACTGGGTGGTCAGACAGTGAGTAAAATGAAAAAAGTAAAGGAACCATTTTTTTTCCATTGTACTTTTAATGGCATAATATGCAGGAAAAAATGCTGCCTACAGTACCCGTCTCCTAGTAACCATAAATCCTATTTTTTAACATTATGGTATATGCCTTTATTTTGCAAAATAAACTTATGTGATGCATGCAGAAAAAACATCACTCCAAATAAATGTTTTGCTTTGTTTTCATTTTGAAAAAAAAAAGTATTATATTGACATTTTAATGCATAAACTAGCCCTGAGTAGTCTTGTAAGGTTACAGCTGTCTCCTGTAATCTCCGCTAAATATATTACATGTGTTTCAGGGAATCATTTCTCAAGAATAAGCAAGCCGGAATGGCAACAAGCCCAGGGGAAAAAGAAAATCTTCCTGAAGAAGACCAAAATCAACCCAAAAAACAGGGTTCTGTTTCTCCCCAGGAAAGATCTTCACAAAGCTCACTGAAATCTATGGAAGCCAGCCAACAAACCACAGAGGATAAAGTGAAGGCAGCTTTAGTCATTCAGAGTATTTATCGAGGATACCGAGTAAGAGATCAGCTCAGAAAGAAAAGGAAGTTGCCTTTTGAAAATCAAGATGATAGTGAGTCTGGGGCTTTGTCTGATGATCTAGCTGTAAAAGATGGTCCAGAGGAGGAAAAATCTAACTTGGCTGTTTTCTCCAAGCAGGTAAGCATTTTAGAAAAACCTTTCACCATGTGGGTTGGGCCATAGCACCCATTATACCTTCTGGGGATAATCAGAATTTCTTTCCCTCTCCCCCTCTCCCTCCCTCTCTTCTCTGTCTCTCTCTCCTCTCTTATATAAAGCAGTTAATTCAGTCTGCATTAAAATAGAATCCATTGAAAACAAATACTGAAAAAATGATCAAGCTTTTGATTGTTGTTGTTATTGTTAGCTGCGAAGTCGTGTCCGACCCATCGCGACCCTATGGACAACATTCCTCCAGGCCTTCCTGTCCTCTAGCATCTTACAATAGTGTAATAGTTCAGTGTAAGAAAATTCTCCGTAATAGAGGGGGCAGAATTCTCTATAATAAAAAGCAATGTTCATGCACTTTCACAGGATGACTTTCCCTCTTTGGTTATATATATGTTTGTGTGTGTTTCTCACCTAGATATCAAAGTTATCAGAGAACTATCTGTCACTGGAGAAGAAACTGAATGAAATACTTTTATCCCATCAGCTGAATCCCATGAAGCTCCCCACAAGCTACCATCCCAGCAGGCACCTTTCTTCATATGTATACCAGTCTGGTAACAACCAATCTCATTATTAAACAAATTAATTTAATGAAATAATCTGCAGTTACAACTGTTACCCTCATGAATCTATTATTTACTCATGAAACTATAGTCTTCTCAGAGACCAAGGCAGGATCATTAATTTATACAGGTAGTCCTCGACTTACAACCACAATTGAACCCAGATTTCCATTGCTAAGCAAGAGAGTTGTTAACTAAATTTTTCCTTATTTCATGACCTTTCTTACCACGGTTGTTAAGTGAATCATTACAGTTATTAAATTAGTAAGCGAGTCCGGCTTCAATATTGACTTTGCTTATCAGAAGGTCGCAAAAGGTGAACGTATGATCCTGGGACATGGCAACTTTCACAAATATACGGCTAGTTGCCAAGGGTCCAAATTTGGGGAATGCTGCAAGAGTAAATGTGAGAATCAGTCATAAGTCACTTTTTCAGTGCCACTGTAACATCAAATAATCACTAAATGAATGGTACTAAGTCAAGGACTATTTGTACTGATATCATTCTGAATGCTAAAATCCATTAACTGTAAGACTCCAAGGCCAACTAAGCTAATCACTTGTCCATCATTTAGCTTGAGATCCATCTAGGAACATTACAGATCACAGTTTGGCCTAGAATGGACATGCACCACAGGATAGATGTTTGCAAAGTTAATAGCACTCTTAGGGTTAGCCAACATTAACTACAGTATATTATCAGAAGTAAACTTCAGCTGAAATTTATTACTTTAAAATACACATGTAAATCCTATAACAATTATCAGTGATCCCAGAAGTGTTTTAATTGAATTCCTGGGCAATTTACTTTCCATAGAATAAATGTACTTGTGAACAATTAGGTTTTTTTCAACATGCCCTCCTGAAATGCTCTTTTAAAGAAAAAAATCATTATTGTTTCATAGTTTTAAAACTTCTAATTTGTTATCTTTTGATTTTCTTTGTGCTTCTAAAGGGCTTAATCATGTTTGAATACCAATGTGACTGAAGACCTGATAAAAATGAAAATGTTTTTTTCTTTTTAAAAAAAAAACTTATACAAAGGGTGCTTTTTAATCTACTATAGCTAAAAAGTGACAGTATTAGGAGTGTTTCTTTTCTTAAACTATAACCCTTCAAAAATCATTTATATTTCCAAAGAAGATTTGGCTTAATAGTTTTATAAAATATTAGACATTTTTATTGGCATAGTGAATTAATCTGGTCGTTTCTCACACTGGCATTTGATTTTATCTGTTTCTAAAATATAGCAAAGAGAATTAATAGTATAATTTTGAATACTGTTTGTTTAACATATCTGTCATCCTAAAATATATTGAAGGGTTTGGTTTACTATGAATATTTTATTGTAATTAATAAAATGTGCAACTTACATGGGGAAAAGTTGAGACCTTACACAGTGATGATCTCTGTGTAGAATCTATTCTAGATTGAATTCTACTTCTGGGATAAATGCAGGTTTGAGTTTAGAGAGGATTAATATCCAATGCTTAATTGTTCTCAGTGGCTAAAAGCCCCTTCCTTCTCCCTCTTCTGCTGGTTTTGGTTGCAATTATCTATTCTAAGGAATGTATTCTCTGCACAGGTAACTTGATTTGACTTCCTATAATGTATTGTATATGGTTTGCCCTTGAAGATAATTCAAATGCAGGAGTATTATCCAACCAGTTAAGTTTGATGTATGAGTTAGGTTTTTTTTTTCTAAGTTAAATTTCAGTTGTGCCATTCAGTGTTAAATTGAATAAAATATACCATTTTGTATGTTTTGTAAAGCATTCAGTTGTAGATTGGCGGTGGCAGGTTGGTAGGAATATTTGTGATAATCATACTGGGAGGATATTTGGAAAGGGGTGTGATGGCTCAGCAGTTAATGGCTGAGCTCCCATTACTTTCCCGAGCTTCTGCCCACTTAGCAGGTTGAAAGCATGCAAATGCATTCAAATGGATAAATAGGTACAACTTTGATGGGAAGGTAACAGCGTTCCATGTGCCTCAGCATATACAGTAATCATGCTGGTTACATGACCATGTCCAAAATGTCTTTGGACAATGTTGGCTAAGAAACAGATGAGCACTGCCCCCTTGAGTCAGACATGACTGGAAAGGGGAAACCTTTACCTTTTAGTGAGAAATGAGGCCAGTTGTAATATGGGAAGAAGTGGTAAGAATAGTGGCAGTAGTAGGAAGACTGGAGAATGCATCCAAGTCAGTTGCGAATAATTCCAATAACCTCCCTGTTCAAAAATTTAAAATTGTATTATTTTGCAAACAAATGCAGTCAGGTGGGGTTTCATTTCACCTCATTTCATCTTTTTCTTTGCCTGATATATTTGGATGAATTTGAAAATAATTGTTATTGTTATTTTTACAGTCATTTAGCTTGAAAATCCAATTGGTCTCTCTAAGGCAGACATGTCAAATTCAAGGCCCGCAGGCCAGATCTAGCCTGCAATGGGTTTAGATCTAGCCCGCAGGGCCACCCTGGAGAAGCGAGGGGCCAGCCCCGCCGTCCCAGCCCAGCCTGGCCAGACGCTCCCCCTGGGCACAGGCACAGGAGGCAGCGAGCGCATGGGGGCTGGCGGTGCCCTGCAGCTGGAGCTCTCCTCCAGCCCAGGAAGGGCAGCCTGGCCAAGGAGAGCAAGCACAGAAGCAGCAGCCTCGAGGAGGAGGTAAGCATGGCCAGGAGCCCTCTCAAGGAAGCAGGGCTGGGCTGTGGAGTCCTGGTGCCCTGGGAGCTCAAGGACTGAACTGCCTTTTGCTGCTCAGGGCTTCAGGCAGCCTGGAGGACCATCAATGCTAACCGGGTGCCTGGATCCTCCTCCAGGTGGATCCACACCCAGCATCCTCTCTGCTCGGACCATGTTGTTCCATCAGCCCCATGCCTCAAGGTGTGGGGTACAGCTGTCCTTCTCCATGGGGTGGCTCATGCATTGCCGGGCACCCAGCCATTCCATGCTGCGGCTGTGCATTGGCCATTCACCTACCTCTCCGAGGATGCAACTTTTCTCTAGTATGACCATGAACGACAGTCCAGCAAGGCACGTATGTACTGTCACTCCTCCCAGCCTTGACTGTCCCCCACAGGTGCCCTCAATGTGAGCGATGTTGACCTGGCCATGCCCACCTAGCCGCAGTGACCTGGCCGTGACCATCCAGCCATGCCTACCCACTTGCCCTTTGAGGGCAACCATAATGCTGCTGCAGTCCTCAATGAAATTGAGTTTGACACCCCTGCTCTAAAGATATTACCACTACCCTGCTCTGAGGGGATTACCACTACCACCCATTTCTCCTTATCAAGGTGCAGATGCTATGGCTATAAGAGCTTCCAAATACAAATGGTATATCAGTTATGGTACTGATAACTGGAGCAATTACTGGTTGTAAGATACAAGTGTTAATAGATATTCCGTGTTCAGGAATCTACTGCCATGGTAGTTGCAAGTTCTTTTTCTACCTCTTCTCTTCAGTTATTTCGTGTGATGTTTCAGCCTCTGATTACTTCTCAGATTAAGCTTGAGAAAATCCAGTTTTGAATATAAGGTACAATCTGACAATAACATCATGGACATTTGATTTGTATATTGTGCTGCAATATGCAAAATAGAAAAACATTGCAAATTTTTGATTCGGTGTATTTTCCCTAGGCATAATTTTAAAAATATTCCTGAGATTTTGAACAAAATCTTTCAGCCAATCCGTCCGTAGCTGGGGCTAAGATGTTGATATAAGGTAGCTGAAATTGTTCAGATACAGTTTGCCATTCACTAATTATTCTAAAACACCAGTTTGCACAATATCTCTATGTTGTGTGTGTCTTTGTGCCTGTTGAACTCACTGAAAACACCTCTGTCCACTTCAAACACATACTGTACTCATCCTAAGTAAAAAAAAAATTCTATACCCAAAAACAATACTGCAATGTCAGTAGAAGTGTTTTTTTTTTCATGGCAAGGAAGCCATGGCTGAAGTGATGCACTTTTCAATTTGGGGGGGGGGCATGTTAGCCACCTGAGTAACTCATTGCAAATAGTCTCAACTTATAGCCTTAAAGACCATTTGAAGTTATGACAGAATTCAGAAAAATGCTACTTGTGAACCATATTTGAAATTTCAACTGCTGCTGCACCACCACCATCTCCTGAAATCATATGATTGCATTTCAATTGCACTTCTCGTGATCATGTGACCACAATGTTTTCTGTCATTTTCCAGAGAAAACATATGCTTGATTCCATTTAAGTGACTCACTTATCAACCATCATAAATATATTCCTAAAATTGAGTCAGGTCACATGGTGAGCCTCTTAATGACCACAACGATTTATGACCAAAATTCCATGCTCATTTGTTGCCATACGTTGAGGACTGTCTGTACACCCTGTTCACATTGGTGATTTTTCCTGGCCAGCAAACAAAATTGAGATATGTGCAACATGTAGTTCCTTCAGGGCTTCATCTTTCAGCTTGGATGTCATGATGACTCTCAGTCTTTTTGTAAAGAAACTGTCACCAGGTATAAGTTGTCATGGCATTGATAAAACTCCATAAATACCCTCCATTCTTGGTTGCTATGTAGACCAGAGATAAATCCTCTGTCTTACTTTCACTGGTCGTCTCAGCTGTGAAGAGAAGACTCTCCATTTCTGCAAGAGAAAGTATGTCAATCTCTGTCAGATGTGCATTCCTCAGTTTGTTTACCCTTTATGGGTAAACAAGATAAACCGTCTGCATTTGTATGAACATGTGTCGTTTTAAATTCTATTGTATACTTATGTCCACCAAGCAACAAAGCCCAATGCTTTATTCAGGCATCTGCTAGTAAGCAGAATTCCTTTTGGTGAATTTAAGACTGACAATAGTAGCTGATGAGAGCAGTGAGATTGAATTCTCTTCTTTACAAATACTGGCTGAAATGTTAAGCCATGCTCAGTACTTCCCTCTCTCTATTTGCATAATTTTTTCCTGCAGCTGTGAGTCAGCGTGATGTA